ATTCGAAAAAACCTGATCATGCATGACAATGGTTAACGCAAAGAACTGTCCACCTCGTGCACCGGATAAATCAAAATTCAACATTTATGTATAGAAAATTATATCGTGAAATTTAGATTTTGCAACAGCCACAAATACAGTGTCTACTTAATTAAAGGAGAAAGAAACTATTTCAAAAACATATAACATATTATTTACATGAAGTAAAGTTTTAAGACAAACCGAGATTTATTTTGTTTTCAAAGGTATATGAAAGGAAGAATGTACAACATGCCCATATGGTTATATTTATGATTACAAAGGACCGTGTTACCTTATTGTTGTTGCAAATCTTCCGTTTGATAAAGCACGACTATAAGTTAGTTTTATGACTTGTTTTTTATGCCGATTTTGAACAGAAACTTGTTATATGAATTTGCAGTGAAAGTTATCATAATCTTATCTGTTATTTTCAATATTCATTAACTTATATTTATACCAAGGTTGGTCATAATATTTAAATGAAAAGAATCGTATTTTAATTACAGGCCAAATTCCAAAAACTTCATGCAGATTTAGTCCATTTAGATAATGCAGACAAAAACACATTCCCTGCAAACCATCTTAAAACGATTAAAGGTAAGGTACCTTTTAAGCTATTTCATCATTTGGTCCTTCATAAAACCATGACACATTAAACACGCAATCAAACGAAATATGCATTTGAAAGTTTATGACTACAACTACAACAAAATACCGCATCCAGTAAACCTGCAGGAACTGCGGGTGGCCTTATATCTCAGTTAAGAAATATTCATCAAGTAATAAATAGCAGTGCCCATTTTATGAGGAGATGATATGTTACGTCCGTTACAGCCTTGAAAGTACATGATATTGCTAACGTTCGTCTTAAGTTTATTTCTTCAGATTTGAAAAAGGAGTTTTTTTTATTTATTTGAAATAGATAAAAAAAGGCATTTGGTGTCCGAGTCCTTTTTAATTTTTAATGTGAGATATTCAGATGATAAAATTTAACACATTTAAGTTATCCAAATACTGATATTGTAATGCAGAACAAAATTTAATGAACCTTTTTTGCTCTTAAGTGTTTTTTTGAGAAAAGAAAGAAACAAAGAAAACAAAATTGGTCTAAAATGTTTCAAAGTAACTATTTGTTAATTATTATCACTTAAATACAATCCTAGTTTGATTTAATAAATAGTAACTTGTATCTAATTAACATAATTTACAAACAATGCAACACAAAGTAAAGGGCAACATCGGGTAATGTGCAAATGTGTTATCCTGCTTAAGTATAACAATAAAAGTGTACACTATTGATTATTTTCATTTTGTGGCCTTGGTTATCTGGTTTCAATTTTGCATGACTTACTAGTAATTAAATCTCGTTGATTAACGTATTTACGTATCTGAATTATAAATACGATCACCTCAAATTTGATTCACTGGCGTCTTTTAAACTGGTAGACGACAACTCTAAGGCATCTTTTACAGACGGACAACTGCTCGACAACGTCTCTGGAAATAAGCACTGTGCCCATTGCAAACTTCAATTTTAAGTGGAATGACGATCAGTGTTACAATTCTGCATAGTCTATTTGTGAAAAGCAAAGATAAAAAGAACTAGTGCAAGACTTATATTTGTAAATCAATTTATAGTTTTTAAGCTCTAGACAAAATAAATTCAAACTGGTTTTCATACTATTTGTGAAATAGAACATATCACTCAAAAACAATATTATAGGTTTGCAATTATTCTTAACAGATGAATCATATAAACACAATGCTACAGAACAGTCTTTAATCACTTTATTTAAGCTACGCAAGTTAGGTATAAGGTTTCATCCATATGAAAATTACACAAGAATAAAGAAAAAATAAACTTATATTTTGTTTATTTCTTTCTTCTAACATATGCTTGCTATGTATTTCTCACAATAATAGCCCGTCCGTGATTTGCCCATTTGCCCCGTCTGGTTTGATTGGTGTCCTGTTAGACTCCTGGGCGGTCCTAGATTGTGTTCTGTTGTGTTGTGTTGTGTTATGTTGGGGTGCGTTCTTAAATGCAACCCTTCCTTGTTTAACATGGTTTTCATATTCTGTACTCCATATAGCTACCTCAACTTATACTAAGGGTATGTCACAAATGTTAGATATAAATTTGACGTGCGAGTCTTTTGTCATTACATTGAAAAAAAAATAATGAAGGTAAATGGTTGGTCTTCTTGGAGAAATCAGCATATGTAGCATTTATTATGCAATATAATTTATTTGATGATCACATGCACATAATGCATAATTGATTGTCAAATTGAGTGCTTATGTTCATTATAGAAGCAATATATTCTACATCCTATATTTCTTGTAGTCCGGAAACAGCCTGCACATCTGACCTAACCGCTGATAAGTTTGTAAGTAATGATATACCTTTTCAAATTAGAAGCAGGGCAAGTATTTTTACGCAGGATTTGTTTTGATAAAGTTAATTTCTATGTGTTTTTACATTTAACTTGATATTCGTAGATTAATGAAATATACAAAGTTACTTTGAACTCAGATTTGTAGAAGAAACTAACATGAAATAATGTTCAGTTGCATTTACATAGTACCAGAACTATTATGATGCAAAATGGACACTCAAAATGGATTTAATTATTGCAAATATAGCCATTATATAAACGTCATGCAAAATCATTGAGTTTAGTTAAAATGCCACGCATTTTTATCACACAATCACACAACGAGGCTAAATAAAAATATTTAAATAAAAAACTTAAACCTTTTTAAAACGTTTTTTTGTAAGTCGGTACACAACATTTAACAAGAAATGATTAAACTTTAGTACTAAGTTAGTTACTAAATATTGAAAGGGAAACTAATTATGTTAATATTTGGAATACAACATTTTAAAGTCAGTCAATTTTGTTTCGTTCACTACCTTTTTGTCTAGGTTGGGACCGAAATGAATCATTTTGAATAGATCAAGTAATATTATGAACGCTCCGAACCTACCATACATATTAAACAACGCTTGTGTTAATGATTTCTATTCTTTACATGGACATAAGTCCAAATGGGTCAACACAAGTTATTGGTCTAAAACACAGAATCTTTATTCAGATCATAAATATTTCATTTCAAAGTCATTAATCGTTCATGGTAGTACTCAGTAGAGCAATATAAATTCTTTATGTCCCCATGATGGCATGTGTCCTTTAGAATAGTAAGGATGTTACTTGAAGGAAAAGCAAAAGAAGCAGTCAGTATAAATGACATACTGAGCTAGGTACCTACGATTTTAAGACTCTCGTTTCTCACATTAGCATCCTTATTTGTCGAGATAATGAATGCTTCTTTCGTGTCTTACATGTGCTGAAATACTTTTTTCCTTTGTAAAATATTTCAATCTTTCTGATAAAAATATTGATAACATTTGGTGGTAATTTTCTTTTGTTCCAAAGCCCGATTGTGACAAGTAAAACAATATTGTTGTTTGGTGTACTATTAATTTAAATTTCTATTAAACCATTGACTAAATAGAGTTTTACTTATTTATAGAAACAAATATTTTCCTCCTTCCACCTTTATCTTATATAGCAAATAATTGCAAATAAACGTTTCAGCAATAATTGTCACGATTTTCGCTAAACTGAACACTAAACTTAACACAGACATTGAAATACTTCAAAAATATGGAGCGTTCTAAATTTGGTGTTTTCTTATAGTTTAAAAAAAGTTAATTATTGTCTAATTTCCTGACAATGTTGGCAATAAAAATGGAAGAATGATTTAGTGTTTTGTATAGAAGCCAAAATACTACTCTTTTTCTACTTTTATGGCAAATATTTCTATAAATCTATAAAAATTTCTATTGTCTTCGAGAGAAATACAACCAACATTATTTAAACGTTATCAAACTGATGTTTGCCCGTATTAATGAAGGGAACATTAATAATTTCTGATACATGTCGTGCCTTTAAAATAAACATAGTTGTATTCAAAATAACGTAAGTTGTTATCTTCGTTATGGACACAAGAACTTATATCGATGCAAGGATGTAATTTTCTGTAATTTTGAGACAAGCAGCACCTATATACTCAATTGGAATATCACGCATGCCTAGCAAAAAGTGAAAAGTAATGCATGTTAAAGCGGACTTGGGGTTGATACATTTTATAGTATACACCATATGAAAGTTAATTTGTTTTATCTGTTGCTGCATGTTAAAATATTGGTAACTTTCTGTGCTTTTCACTTGAAATAACGTAGCAGAACATATCCACTGAGCCAGGTTTTCGTCATATGCATAGTTTTGTTACAAAATGAATTAGTAGTTTTTTTTAATGATGTATCATTTATTAATATGGGAACTGTAAATGTCTTACCTGCATCCATTTACAAATGTATATGCTTTCAGTAATTTTCTTATTTTACTGATTTTGATATCTGGTTAATTATACGTTTCAAGTTTTACCTTTATTGGTCATGAAGTTACCTATGTCTGTTATCTATATCTCTTTTATATAAAACCAAACCAACGGTCAAAATTATTAAACATTCTTCATGATACTATTATTTCAAAACCATAAAAGTTTACTTTTCACAAAACAGAAAAAAGTATCATAAATAGATTTTAATATTACAGAAATAAGTGAAGACAAAAATAATGCTGTGAACAAGTCCGGCCTATCATATTTACATGCAAACTGGCATGGAATTTGTTCTATTTAAAATGTGTACATATTTGTAAATTGAAACATTGTCATAAATTGCTGAACATAAGATATATTTGTAGGACAACTTCCAGATATTGATCTAAATTGAAAATGCTAATTTCCAATGTTAGTATTGCCGAAACAATTTTGAATTATTTTAGACCACACCTCTTCTCTAAATGCACACAGAACGAGCGACCCCTTAAATGGTAGAAATAATAATTTGGGCGTTTCTGTTTAAGAAAAGTTTATACATTCGCATGGCACATGTCATACACTACTTTATAAACTGAACAACTGATTAAAGCCATACAGAGGACGTTGCTGTAGACATAATTCGTTAACTTAAGGTGATTTAACATGAAAGGATATTTAGGAGTACTTTTTACGCTGTACCTTGTCTATTGTGTTGCGACACAGCAATGTTCCAAATATCATTATGAGGAGCAAATTTTATCAAAGGTAACTCGAATGGAACACAGACTAGAAATGCTGGAGGAAAAAGTCAGTAAAGAAGGTAAATCAGTTAATATTTTATTCATATTTGAATAATATTTACTTTTAAGGTACCAGACATCTTACTAGCAATTGATTTTAGAAAAACGCTCGTTTGGATTAAAGAGAAAAACTGCTTTAGTAAAACACCTTTTGCGGAAAGAACTTGTAAGGTACTGATAAAAGACTGACGTGTAATGTCTTTCTCTTAATAAATACTGCATGAGAATCGACTTTGAATTAAACTACATTTATCATTTTTTTAATATCAAAGCCTAGATATAACAATTCCATAACAATGTGTTATTAGCTAAAATTTTGAATCAGTTACATTCAGATAAATTTATCCGAACTTGTATTAACTTAAAGAGTGAAAAAAATGTTCAACCGACCCACACCCACTAACAAAGAAATAATTATGCGTTTGGATCCATGCCAGAAAGTCTGTACACAAAAACACCACAATCAAATATTTAATGCAAGTGTATAATTATACATTTACTTTTTCACGTTTCTTCTCTTTTTACTGAATTATAATGTTTTGGTAAACTTAAACTTGTTGGAATGTAAGGGGGGAATAGTGACACAAGTATGGCCGGCTATGTGTTGTTAGTTTTGGTTAGAACAACACTAAGATGACCATACAATGATTGCTGAGCAAATTTACACGTATAATAATTTTCAAGAAAGTGTGATGATATAGTAAAACAGTATCAATGCGGGATGGAAGTTTATAAAATATTGTGAAATATTTAGTTAACTTGAAACAAATTTAACGATATGATAAACCTGGTATTTCTTTTATTTCCCGAAGGAAAAGTTTGCTCGCATTGCCCAGATGGATGGATTAAATACAAAGGGTCATGTTACCTCTTCGTGGAGAAAAAACTTTCATTTGATGCCGCACGAGTAAGTCTAATTTTCTCAATTTTGCTATTTCTTAAAGACATGAAGTACATTTAACTTTATACGCCGCTTTTCATAAATAACACTAACATGTCACATTGTAGGTTCCATGATAAAAGCCGCATGAACACTTTTACTTTTTTTGTTGCATTATGCTCAAGCCGGTGGCTATTGGACATTGACGGTAGCTTGCATTTCATATACCTTCCATGAACATTTCAATCAAACCAGGCTTGAAACATTTTTAATTTTGCCGTTTTTCAGCTTTCTTAAAAGATTCATATTTTTGGTATTAAATAAACATCTGATTCGTTGTCTGTGACAAAATAGATGGGCACTTATCTTTTTTTGTGAATTGTGCTTAACCAAATCAAATAAGTGTTTGTGCGTTTGTAATTCAATTAATTTAAGTTAAAAATTTTCATAACTCTAAATAAATGAACGCATTATTTGATTGGTGACTTTACGAATGATGTGAAGGTTCCGATATATAATATATTTTATTTGCAGGCAAATTGCCAAATTCTTCATGGTCATTTGGTCCATATAGAAAATGAGGACGAAAATTTCTTCCTCAGAAATCATCTTCGTACCCTAAAAGGTTAGTTAATTCTTGATTTTAGCCTTTGATTTCGTTTCTTATACATTCTTTCAGTCATTTATACACTTGTTAACGTCATATTTCCTTATCCCTTAAGTATCTTTAATTACCATGGAATTTAAAGGTTATATAATTTTAGATATAAAAGTTTACAATGATGGCTGTTGAAATAATCATTTTAATGACTGAGGTGTGTGTGTGTATGTGGGGGGGGGGGGGCAAATTTGAGTATTAATTCATACAAATAAATACAAGTGTATAATGTTCTGGTAGATCAGTAAATGAAAGACACAATATATATAGCTAAAACAAAGTCAGTTTCACATTAAAAAAACAACCTTAATCCTTTATAAAAGGATTTATCATCAATAACAAATAAAAGAACTCGGAACAAATTTAAAACCAATCTTCATGGGCAACTTAAAGAGCGTTTTCCAATCTGCGTCCATGTTTGACCCTACATTATTTTACATATATCTGTTGTCCAAAGAACACAAAAATATTCCATCGCGTCATAAATTGAATAAATCATATAACAGCTGCCGTTTGCGTTACCTCATTTTCTTGTGTTTTTTTTTTAATTCATTTGAATCTTGGAATTACTTATATGTCATCTTAAATGATGTTCACAGATTCTGATCTTTGGATCGGACTCACAGATTCTGAAACAGAAGGCGTCTTTAAATGGATTGACGACAGCTCTAGGGCGTCTTTTACAGACTGGTCTCCAGGACAACCTGATAATGGCGCGAATATAGAGGACTGTGCAGATTTTTCTCCAAAGTTTAATTTAAAATGGAATGACCGAAACTGTGAACATTCCATTGGATCTATTTGTGAAAACAAAATAAAACTTACATGAATATATCTATCACAATTAAATCAAACTGCTGAAATTTCAATTAATCAGAATGAATCATTCCATCTTTGTAAGAATTTTTGTAAATGAAATAAAAAAGAAAACATATGATTTCATTTGACTTTAATAAAATGAAAATCAGTATAAATATAAATTGAAAGAGAAAACGTGTATCAGTGTTTTTTTGTGGGGGTAATGGGGGGGGGGTACATCGCTCCGCCAAGAGGTTTTTTGTCCGACACAGTAATGGTCATATGGCGGCTTTCGAGCTTTACCCTTAATGGGTACTTTTCTGTACATTATGTCAGCACTAACGAACACCTGAGTAGAACCACCGACGTTTCGTAAGGAAGCTGGATAGCTTCCTCACATGAAAGAGACATTGTATATGTCGGGAATCGAACCCACTTCGGTGAAACGAAAGTGCAACGCCCGATGTTTTATAAGATATTCAATTATGAATATGGGTACAATCAAACCATTGTGTTGAAGCTATCATCAAATTGAAGCTATCCAGCAAATAAGGGGATCTCTAAAACAGAAACCGTCATTCATACTTTGTCCAAACAAAATCAACAAAAACAAACAAACAAAAATGAACAAATATACCGCACGGCTACACTTCAGACATCAACGACATTAGTGGTCAAAATAGGACTGTTTATGACGACACTAACCCAGTTGGTTATGGTCATTATTCTGTCTTATCTCTTTTTTATATCAATCTTTTTTTATTGATTATTGATATTTCGGTCATCAGAAAATTAAAACAGAGGAAAAGGAAATTGTCCTTTCAATAATATGATTCACTTTCTTTTGCAAGGCATGAAGTCCACCGAATAAATGACTTTTGGTAAAGCTTTGTTAGACGACAAGATTCATAAGGAATCAAATTTGTAACGCATGCTACAAATGGAATGGCATTTGTTAGAAGTTTTATAAATGTGTTATAGAAATGTAGCACATTCGTTGAATGAAATAATACCACGCTAGCCAGAGGTTCAATATAATTTAATTCAACTGGTTCAATAAATCTAGTATTGAGCCTCATTAAATATTCTTTATAAACAAAACACAAGCCATGTTTTCACCAGATGGATTAAGGCAATGACATGAAATTTGTTTGTAAATTGAAACATTATTTAACTTTACAAAAACATGAATTGCTGAACATAAGATATATTAGTAGGACAACATTAAATATTGATCTAAAAGAAAATGCTAATTTCCAATGTAAGTATTGTCGAAACAAGTTTGAATGGCTTTAGTCCACACCTCCTCTATAAATACACAAAGATCGAGTCATCTATTGGTAGGAATGATAATTTGGGCGTTTCTATTTAAAAAAAGACGTAAAAAACTTGCTTGCCTCTTGTTACAATACTATATAAACTGAAAAACCGATTAAGGCAATACAAAGGACTTTGCTACATACATAATCCGTTAAGGTGATTTAAAATGACAGGATATTTGCGAGTCGTTTTTACGTTGTACCTTGTCTGTTGTGTTGCGACACAGGAATGCTCTAAATATCATTATGAGGAGCAAATTTTATCAAAGGTAGTCCGACTGGAACACAGACTAGAAATGCTGGAGGAAAAAACCAACAATGAAGGTAGAGTGGTTTTAAAAAAAATATTTATATGTTTTAAGGTATCAAACATTTTAACCGGTGATTCAATTTAGAAAAAAAAAAACGCTCGTTTGGACAAAACATCTTTTGCGGAAGGAACTTGAACTATATTGGGAAAAGACAGACGATAATGGCTTTCGCTGAATAAAATACTTAAAGTCGACTTGGAAATACACTAGATTTTTTTTTCTTTTAAATCAAAGCCTAAATATAATAATTATATAACAATGTATGCTAAGGTAAAAAATGAATAAGTTAAATTCAGATGAATCTATTTGAACCTGCATTGACTAAATGTCTGAAAAAATCAACCGCCTCGAACACCGCCTTACGAAAGAAAAATGTTTCTTTTTTGTTCTGAATTATAATGTTTTTTATACTATTTAAAAAGACTTTAATTTTTAGAATGTAAGGCGGGAATGGTCATACAAGTATTATCAGCTATATCTGGTAAACTTTGGTTTGGCAAACTTAGTGAAAATGTAAACTTAGAATCATTTCTAAAAAAATGTGATATATGAAATTGTTAAATTGAATGTTAAATTGAAACATATTTGACAATATGATAAACCTGGTATTCTTTTTTATAAGAAAAAGACTGCCCGAATTGCCCAGATGGATGGATTAAAAATAAAGGATCATGTTACCTCTTCGTGGAGAACAAACTTTCATTTCATGCCGCACAAGTAAGTTTAATTTTCTCAATTTTGCTATTCCTTGGTATTTCTGAAAGGCATGAACGACATTTAACTTTTTACGCCGCTTTTCACTGAATAACACTAATGGGTCATGTTAACTGCCGTATGAACACATTCGGATGTTACTACAGTTGAAATTATTTACTATTTTATGTTTAATTCTGCTTTGGGGGTGTATGGCGAGATGACGGTTGCTTGCATTTTCTAATACCGTCCATGAAAAGGGTCAGTCAAACCAGGCCTGCAACATTTTCAAACTCGCCATTTTGTGAGTTCTTAACCTAATCATTTTTATTTAGATTAAATAACAACTCATTCGTTGTCTGTAACAAAAGAAATTGACACATTTTCACTATGTGTAATTGTACTTTACCAAAACGAACAGGTATTTGTCCATTTGAGTTTCATTGAGTTGACATTTATCATAATTTTAAATGAATCATCAGAAAGGTGGCTATGTAAACTGATGTGACATAAGAAAGAGTTACAAAAGATCCAAACCAGGTTCTCGATATAAAATATACTTTATTTGCAGGCAAAGTGTCGAATTCTTCATGGTCATTTGGTACATATAGAAAACGAGACTGAAAATGACTTTCTTAAAAATCATCTTCGTACCTTGAAAGGTTAGTTACTTATAATATTTATCATTTGATTTGGTTGCTTATACATTCTTTCAGTCATTTATGTACTTTTAAATGTCACATTTCCTTATCCCTAAAAAATCTTTTATTAATATGGAATTTAAAGGTAACTTTTTTGAATATAAAACTCGTTAAAATCATAAACTTGACGTTTATTGGTGAACTTGATTTTGACCTAGTTGTGGATGCGAAATGTATGATTAATTCATACAAATAAATACACAAGTAATCTTAGTGTTCCTGTAGATCTGTAAGAGTTAATAAAAAACACCAAAGAGCCAACAACAAAGTCAATCTAACATATAAAAGTCACCCTTTCATCCCTTGTATAAGGGGTTTATTTTTAATAAAAGTGAAAGAACCTTGATGACATACACTTTTTAAAAAGAGGATTGTTCAACCGTTGTTCATGAGCGATACACATATCGAACAACTGTTTTACTAAATTTGTCATAGTACCAAGTCAACATTATTTTTTGAATTCATCAGTTGACAAATATATTACGTTATAATCTGGAATAGATCATATTGTAGCACCTTCATTCCTTGTCATTGCTATTTCTTTAATTGCAAATTGTGTCACCTTTAATGACGTTTACAGATTCTCGCTTTTGGATCGGACTAACAGATTCTGAAACAGAAGGCGTCTTTAAATGGATTGACGACAGCTCCACGGCGTCATTTACAAACTGGATTCCCGGACATCCTGATAATATTGGGAAAGGAGAAGACTGTGTAGAAATTTATATAAGTTTTAAATGGAATGACCGAGACTGTCGAGCTACCTTGAAATATATTTGTGAAAAGAAACTTAAGCTTACATGACTATTGAAAATGAAAAAGTTCTTTTCACTTAATCCGAATTAATCATACAGCATATAATCTTTTGTAAAGTATTTGTAAATGAGATACACAAATGATTTCATTGAAACTTAATAACTGAAAAAAGTATATATAGAGATAACGTATAAATATATATTAAAACGTAAATTGTTGTTGTTGTTGTTGGGTTGTACATCGCTATATTATCCCCTTTTGTTTTATATCTATCTATCTATCTATCTATCTATCTATCTATCTATCTATCTATCTATCTATCTATCTATCTATCTATCTATCTATCTATCTATCTACTCTATCTATCTATCTATCTATCTATCTATCTATCTATCTATCTATCTATCTATCTATCTATCTATCTATCTATCTATCTATCTATCTATCTATCTATCTATCTATCTATCTATCTATCTATCTATCTATCTATCTATCTATCTATCTATCTATCTATCTATCTATCTATCTATCTATCTATCTATCTATCTATCTATCTATCTATCTATCTATCTATCTATCTATCTATCTATCTATCTATCTATCTATCTATCTATCTATCTATCTATCTATCTATCTATCTATCTATCTATCTATCTATCTATCTATCTATCTATCTATCTATCTATCTATCTATCTATCTATCTATCTATCTATCTATCTATCTATCTATCTATCTATCTATCTATCTATCTATCTATCTATCTATCTATCTATCTATCTATCTATCTATCTATCTATCTATCTATCTATCTATCTATCTATCTATTATTAATAATTAATAAAGCGATCATCAGAGAAGTAAACAGATGAAATGGGTAATATGAACAGTATTTTGCAGGGGATGCAACTACATCGAAGTTATGACTTTTTGATACAGCTTTGTTGGACCAGATTCATAATGAATCACATTTGAAACGTCTGTCACGAATGGAATTGCATTGGTAAGAGGTGTTACAAATGTGTAATAGAAATGGAGCACATATATAACTGTCCTATGTCCGTAACTCTGGTATTGATTTTGAACTTGATGTTTTGCATTTAAAACTACTGAAGATATTCGGGTCATAATATTGGAGGTCATTATCCAAAGCACAAAACTTAGGCATGGATTGTTACTGAATTGTAGTCTTTTTGAACCTAGAAATCATAGAAATAATGGTTAAAGTTTTGGGTGCTATATAAATAATCCTTAGATTATAACGACAACAAAAGACCGGTCCATTGATAACTCATTTGATATTTCAATTTTTAGGAGTGTAGAACCCACTCATTCTAGCTCTAGCGTGTTTTCCTTACAAAGATTTGCTCCTGGAAAACACGTAAAGTTAAACGCGAGTTAGAGCAGTCAGAATTTCTGACACGTTTTTAATTTACAAAACAATAAGTTAATAAAATAAAATACTGATTGATTTTCCTAAGCAGATTATATGCACATTTGTAAAAATGAGCTTCACTTTATTCCATCAAGACGATAAAATATTGATATGAAAGACCCTACTTTTTGTATTTGTTTTCTGCCCCCGCAGACCACAAAATATTTCCTATCGTGTATGAATGTTTTTGTTTGTATCAGTTATATAGAACAACAAAACAATATTTTTCACCAGATAAATGTTTTATTATATTACTATTAATTTAATATTTATATAAAAAATAATCTAACCTCTTCGAAAAGAATACAAAAAGTAGATTCTGCATTATCCCAATACATTAAGAGTTAGTAAACAACATTATACAGATATATTACCATTGCCTAGTGTCTCGGGTAATAAGCTGGCAACCGTTTACCTTTGGGTCATATCACCTGTAAATTATATCAACATACTAGCCATAAAAACATATCATAGAATGATGAAGCCGTCAAACGTTATTTTTTAGACCCAAAATACTAGCAACTATTGACAACTACAAGGCCTAGAACATTAACTAGTAATAAAAATCAAAACTTACACATGTTTTGAAATTATACACTTGCATATGGCTACAAAATTCAAATGCAATAAGTAAAGTTTCTCATAGGATATCTCGTTGAAATATAATCTATATTTTTAAATTGCCTAGAAATGTCCATTACTTTAATAATGCATAAGCCGATTATATCAAAACCGAACTTTGTTTTAATTATGTTTTTATATTTCATACGCGCATATGATTACCAAATATCTAATCAATTACAAATGAAATCTTTATTATATACATTTTGCTTTAAACGTGTTTCATTTGCATACAAAAACTTTATTGTGGCTAATTTTCATTGAATTTTGATATTATATATTTTATATAAAGATCATCAGTCATGTCTAAAACGAAACCATTTCATTCACAGCCAATAAAATAAAGCCAAAAACCAGATTGTGTTCATCAACAAACAGTGTATTGCATTGATATCGTGCATTTATATGACCAATCTAAATTGTATATAAAATAGTCTTACACAAGTCATGCTACGTAAAGACATTTTTAGGAGCCAAATAATTAAAAAAAAAAATAGTTACAAAAGACAAAAAGGGTTGTTTATTTAAATCTCTCGCAAAAGTTAAAAAATGGATTTAAATTTAAATGCCTGTCATAAAACTTTGCTTTAGAAAGAAAATATACTATAATATTTTTGGAAATTTACAATTTCAACACAGTCGATTCCACCGGACCTATGTCATGTATCCACTTCCTTACTTAAAACATGTATAAAGGACAAAAAATAAGACACGTTTCAAAGGCTTGTACTACAAAGACTCGAACCAGCGCAGCGATCCCGCAAAATTAAACATCTAGAACGCGACTCAGCTAACCAATACGTCACAGTATATTGGCGCCATCATGACATTTTGTACCTTTATATTTATGATATCGAGGACGACGATGATCAAAGTTCAGTGGTAATGAGCTTGTGATAAGTACTAAATGATACAAAGAACATCGACTGTTACAAATGCCTCCGATCCCTGTTATTGACAATTACATTTGTATCATGTTTGACTTGTTACGAATGCGATGGGAGATTTTGGTGCAATACGGACATTTATAAAATTAGTGGATTTTTTATATATAAGTCAATAATGAATTCCATAAAACACAATTTTTCCAGGTCCTCTTTTGACAATTATGACATGAATCACTTTCCAGGATCATAGAAAATAGGAGATTTTTTTTTAGTTACAATGTTTGTGTGTTTTTTTTTTGTGTCGTTACAATCATGAATACGAGTCCATCGTGGTAAAAAAGATAAGCGGTTAACTCAAATAAAACTTGTTCAGGTAATTCATACTTCATCTAAATGCCATCAATATTAAATCAAACAGTACATAGGAGAGTGATTTAGATCCATCCTAGCCAAGGATTCATATGTTTGTCACAGAGTGAGAAAAATGTGCAGTCTCACTGGGACTCGAACCCAGGCCGTTGAACTCTGGACTTGATATAGCATGTTAATGGAATTTTAGAATTGTTATTTTTGCAAGAAATGTGCATTTTACAGTTGATCCAAACATTAATCTTGATCCTAAAATTGATCGTTATTTTGATCATTTGTTTTGTTATTCATCGATTCATCGATGAGTCAGGTTTTCGTCATATGCATAGTTTTACATAATTAGAAGTTTTCTTCAAAAAATTGATGTATCAATTATTAATATGGGAAAAGTAATTGTTTAACCTGCATCCATTAACAAATGGATATGCTTTTATTAATTGTATTAATTTACTGATTTTGATATCTGGTTAATAATTCTACGTTTCAACTTTAGCTAGCACATATGATACTTAAACTGGCTATGAACTTGCCTATTTCTGTTATCTGTATCTCAGAAAAATAACCAACGGTCAAAATTATTAAACATTCTCTATTATTTTCAAAACCATAAAAGTTTACTTTTTATAAAACAGAAAAAATATCACTAATAGATTTTATTGATGCAGAAATAAGGCAAGACAAATAATAATGCTGTGTAAAAGTCTGACCAATTATATTTACATGCAAACTGTTATCACAGGATGGCATGGAATTTGTTCTATTTAAAATGTGTACATATTTAAAAAAATTGAAATATTATTAAACTTAACTAAAACACGAATTGCTGAACATAAGATATATTTGTAGGACGACTCCAGAAATTAATCTTAATGTCACTGTTAGTATTGTCGAAATAATTTTAAATGGCTTAAGTCCACACCTCCTCTATCAATGCACTCACAAAGATCGACTCTTCAAATGGTAGGAATGATAATTTGGGCGTTTCTGTTTAAAAAAGACGTATTAACTTGCTTGCCTCTTGTTATAAAATACTATATAAACTGAACAACCGATTAAAGCAATACAAAGGACTTTGCTACATAATCCGTTTGATATGTATAAAATGAAAAGATATTTAGGAGTCGTTTTTACGTTGTACCTTGTATGTTGTGTTGCGACACAGGAATGCCCAAAATATCATTATGAGGAGCAAATTTTATCAAAGGTAGTCCGACTGGAACACAGACTAGAAATGATGGAGGAAAAAGGCAATAAAGAAGGTAAAATGATTTTTCTTTTGTTCATTTTTGTAAAAATATTTTTAGTTTTAAGGTATTAAACATCTTTACTGGTGATTTAATTAAGAAAAAAAGCGTTTGGACTGAAATAACTGTATTATCAAAACGTTTTTTTTTGCGGAAGGAACTTGAAATGTATTGGGAAAAGACAGACTGTAATGGTTTTCTCTGAATAAAATACTGAGTAAAATAGACTTGGAATTATACTAGATTTCTCTTTCTTTTATATCAAAGTCTGAATAAAACAATTATAATACAATGTATGCTAAAGCAAACATTTGAATAAGTTACATTCAGATGAATTTAAATTAACCTGCATTCACTGAAAGACTGAAGAAAATAATCAACCGCCTCCCATACCTCCTTACAAAAGAAAATAGGTTTGTTTTTTGAATAATGCCAGAAAGTCTGTTTTGCCAGAAATTTCTTTGATATTTCTTTTTTTGCACTTAATTAAATATTTAAACTTTTTAGAATGTAAGGAGGGAAACGGTCATGCAAGTATTACCAGCTATGTGGAGTAAATTTTATTTGGGCATACTTAGGTGACAATGCAAATTTATAATCATTTCTTTTTAAATATGATGATATATTTTAAAGAGTCCTATTCAACGCGGAATGGAACCTTTTTTAAAACATTGTGACATATTTTGTTAAATTGAAACACATTTGACAATATGATAAAGCTGGTATTCTTTGTTCCAAAGTAAAAGTCTGCTCGCATTGCCCAGATGGATGGATAAAATACAAAGGGTCATGTTACCTCTTCGTGGAGAATAAACTTTCATTTGATGCCGCACAAGTAAGTTCCATTGCAAAATAAATATTTTCTCGATTTCGCTATTTCTTGCTTTTTCTTAAAGACACGAACTACATTTAACTTAATCGCCGCTTTTTATGGAATAAGTCTAACGTGTCACATTAAAAGATCCATGTTAACCGCCGTATGAACACATGCGGATGTTACTAAAGTTGAAATTATTTACCATTTAATGCTAAATTCTGCTTATTTTCGGGGGGGGGGGGCTACGGCGAGATGACGCTTACTGGCACTTTCAATGGTTTAATCAAACCAGGCCCAACGTTTTCAAATTTGCCGTTTTGTGCATTCTTAAACTTATCATTTTTATCTAGATTAAATAACAACTAATTCGAGGTCTATAACAAAAAGACTGGACAGTCGTTATTTTATTATGTGAAACGGTACTTTACCAAAAACGAACATGTATTTGTCCATTTGCAAAACAATGAATTTAAGTTGACATTTATGATCATAATGTTAAATGAATCGTCAGATAGGTTGCTGTGTAAACTGATGTGACACAACAAATAGTTACGAAAGATCCAAACCAGGTTCTCGATATAAATATACTTTATTTGCAGGCAAATTGTCAATGTCTTCACGGTCATTTGGTGCATATAGAAAACGAGAACGAAAATGCCTTTCTTAGAAATCATCTTCGTACCTTAAAAGGTTGGTTAATTATTGTTTTTATCATTTGATGTTGTCGCATTTCCTTATCCCTTACTGTTTCTTTAATTGCCAGGAAATTTAACAGTTACATTATTTGGATCTAAAAGTCCAGAAGGTAAATCGTTAAAACCATAACCTTGACGTTTTCGACCTAGTTTTTGGGATGCGAAGTGTTTGATTAATAAATACAAAGAAATACACAAGTAATCTAGTGTTCCGGTAGATCTGTAAGAGTAAATGAAGGACACAATAGAGCCAACAACAAAGTCAATGTAAGATATAAAAGTCACTCTGTCACTAACTATAAAGAGGTTTATCTTTAATAAAATGTAAAGGAACCTCGATGACATACAATTCTAAAACAAATGTTTGTTCAAACCGTTTCGCATGAGTGGCACAGACATTGAACAACTGTTTGACTAATTTGGTCTAAGTACCGAGCCAACATACATAGTCTGGAAAATATCTTATCACACACCCGTGCCGATTTTGCGACTCCGTAAAAATGGTATTGCACGGCCTGCATATATTTTGACATGACGTCATTAGCGTTATACAAACATAGTGTTAAGACGCGCTAAATGTTAGCGTTATACTATAGGCGCGTCAATAAAAAATTATTTCACTTCAAATGGTCTTTATTTTGGGTATGTGATGAATAGATTATTAAATTCGTGTAAGTTCATTACTGAATTTATTGCACTCGTTTAATAAAATAATATTATGCTCGCCAGAGGCTTGTATAATATCATTTTATTCAACTTGTGCAATACATTCAGTATTGAACTTACACTCATTCAATATCCTCTATATATTGTAGCTGAAACTGATGTTTTCATTTCCTAGTCTTTGCTATTTCTTTAATTTCAAAATTTATCACCTCTTATATCGTTCACAGATTCTCTCATGTGGATCGGACTAACAGATTCTGAAACAGAAGGCGTCTTTAAGTGGATTGACGACAGCTCTACGGTGTCTTTTACAGACTGGTCTCCAAAACAACCTGATAATTCTGGGAATAAAGAAGACTGCGTAGAATTCTATCCAGATTTAAAATGGAATGACCGAAACTGTGAAGCTTCCCTGAGATCTATTTGTGAAAATAAACTAAAACTTACATTACAATCATAACCAGAATAAAAAATTCATTTCACTTAATGAGAATGAATCATACTAATTTTTATTAAACATTTGTAAATGAGATACAAATTTAAAATGATTTTATTTGAACTTCATAAAATAAATTAAAAATAAATAAAGATTAAGATTAAATATATATAAAAACGCATTTTTGTTGTTGTTGTTAGGTTGTACATCGCTCCGACACAGTATAGGTCATATATGGTCTTTTTAGCTTCACTGGTGCAGGAAGACCTTAATGGCTTATCGTGCATAATTTCAGACACGAACGGACCTCTTTAACAAAACCATCGATGTTTCGTAAGCAAGCTGAATATCTTTCTCATACGAAAGAGTCCCAAGTCCCTGCCTAGATTTGAGTGGCTTGTTTGAGGTCAACGACCCTTATCACTGGGCCAAGGACGCCAAATGTTAAATAAGAAATTTAATCATCAATATTGATAACAATACAATCAAACCATTATGTGTGCAACTACTATGTAATTCTAGCCATCCTGAGAATAAAGGAAATCTCTAGGAACAGAAACCGCCATTCATACAATTTTGCAAAACAAATATCCAATCAAAATAAAAAAAACAAACAAAACAAGCAAACAAACAACACGGCTACACTTTCGACAACAATAACTGTTTATTACGATACAAAACAAAGTCGGGTTTTGGTCATTATTTTGTGTTATCCCTTTTATATATATATATATATATATATATATATATATATATATATATATATATATATATATATATATATATATATATATATATATATATATATATATATATATATATATATATATATATATAAATATATATATATATATATATATATATTTAATAGTTGATGAAGCGAACATCAGAGAAGTAGATAGAGAAAAAGGGAATTGTCCTTTGTATACATGTAATATGACACAATATTTTGCAGGGCATGAAAGTACATCGAATTAGTGACATTTAGCTTTGTTTGACCAGATTTATAACGAATCTCATATGAAACGCCTGCCACGAATTGGATTGCACCCGTAAGGGGTGATACAAATGTAACTTCCTAGTTATCTTATATTGATTTTGAACGTAATGTTTTGCATTTAAAACTACCGAAGATATTCGGGTCATAATATTGGGGGTCATTGTCCAAAGCTCAAAATTTAAGCATGGATTGTAACTGAATTGTATGCTTTTTGAACCTAGAAATCATAGAAATAATGGTTAAAGTTTAAGTTGCGACATCAAACTTCATTTTAAAACGACAACAAAGACCGGTCCATTGATAACTCTTTCGATATTTCAATTTTAGGAGGGTAGAACCCACTCATTCTAGCTTGTTTTCTGTAAAAAGATTTGCTCTTGGAAAAAAAACGTGAAGTTAAACGCGAGTAAGAGCAGTCAGAATTTCTGACACGTTTTCACTTTACAAATAATAAATACATAGAATAAAATACTGATTTTTCCAAAGCATATATATGTACAAGTGTATATATGTAAAAGTGAGCGGGCTCTTCACTTTATTCCATCAAGACAAAATAATGATATGAAAGACTCGAATTTGGTATTCGTTTTCTGACCCTGAGGACCACAAAAAGTTTCCTATCGTGATTGAATTCTTTTGTATCAGTCATTTAGAAAAACAACAAAACAATATTTTTCACCAGATAATTTCTTTTATTATATTTATTATAATTATTATTAATTCAATATTTATACAAAAATTAATCTAACCTCATCGAAATGAAAACAAACAGTAGGTTCTGCATAGAGTTAGTAAACAACTTTATACTGATAAATTACCATCACCTAGTGACTCGGGTAATTAGATGGCAACCGTTTACCTTTGGGTCATATAACCTGTAAATTCTATCAACATACTAGCCATAAAAACATGTTATAGAATGATGAAGCCGTCAAACGTTATTTTTTAGACCCATAATACTAGCAACTATTGACAACTACAATGCCTAGAACATTAACTAGTAATAAAAATAAAAACTGACACATGTTTTGAAATTATACACATGCATATGGCTACAAAATTCAAATGCAATAAGTAAAGTTTCTCATAGGATATCTCGTTGAAATATAATCTTTATGCCTAAATTGCCTAGAAATGTCCATTACTTTAATAATTAATTAGCCGATTATACCAAAACCTAACTTTGATTTAATTATGTTTTAATATTTCATACGCGCATAAGATTACCAAATATCTAATCAGTTACAAATGAAATCTTTATTATAAACGTGTTTAATTTTCATACAAAAACTTTATTGTCACCAATTTTCATTGAATTTTAATATTATATATTTTATATAAAGATCGTCATGTCTTAAACGAAACCATTTCATTCACAGTCAATAAAATAAAGTCAAAACCCAGATTGTGTTCATCAACAAACAGTGCATTGCATTGATAACTTGCATTTATATGATAAATCTAACTTGTATATAAAAAGTCTTACACAAGTTATGCTACGTTAAGACATGTTTAGAAGCCCAATAATTAAAAAAATAGTTACAAAAGACAAAAAGTGTTGTTTATTTAGAACTCTCGCAAAAGTTAAAAAAATGTATTTAAATTTAAATGCCTGTCATAAAACTTTGCTTTAGAAAGAAAATATACTATAATATTTTTGGAAATTTACAATAAATTTCAACACAGTCGATTCCAACGGACCTATGTCATGTATCAACTTCCTTACTTAGAACATTAATAAAGGACACATAAATAAGACACGTTTCAAAGGCGTGTACTACAAAGACTCAAACCAGCGCAGCGACTCCGCGAAATTTAACATCTAAAACGCGACTCAGCTAACCAATACGTCACAGTTATATTGGCGCCATCATGACATTTTGTACCTTTATATTTATGATATCGAGGACGATGATGATCATAGTTCAGTGGTGATGAACTTGTGATAAGGACTAAATGATACAAAGAACATTGACTGTTACAAATGCCGTCGATCCCTGTTATTGACAATTACATTTGTATCATGTTTGACTTGTTACGAATGCGATAGAAGATGTTGGTGCAATACGGACATTTATAAAATGAGTGAATTTTTGATATATAAGTAAATAATTTATTCCATTAAACATCAATTTGCAGGTCATACATGAATTACTTTCCGGGATCATAGAAAACTTTATTAACGGTTTAGGAGATTTTTTAGAGTTACAATGTTTGTGATAATTGTTTCGTTACATGAATACAAGTCCGTCTTGGTCAAAAAAGGTAAGGTTAGTGGTTTATTCAAATAGAACCTTGTTCAGGTAATTCATACTGTATTTTGAAGTCATTAACATTTAATGAGACAGTACATAGGCGAGTGATTTAGATCCATTCTAGCTAAGGATTCATATGTTTGTCACAAAGTGCGAAAAATGTGCAGTCTCACTGGGACTCGAACCCAATCCCTTGAACTCTGGACTTGATGTAGCATGTTTATGGAATTTTAGAATTGTTATTTTTGAAAGAAATGGGCATTTACAGTTGATCCAAACTCCCGCGAACCGACTGCGCTATCCGACCGCTTACACACATCCTATCCTAATTTTGAGTAGTCCTAAACCGTGAAATATATGCTTAAGAAATGTTTTACAAATGGTAGTAATTGAAATAACAGAAAAAAGGGGAACAGTTACTTAAAATGACATAAGTTACGTGATATAAGTTGCTGACTATGGTAACATAAATTATTTTCCTTATTTGTTAAGATAAAAAAAAATTTAGATTAAAACTTCATCCATTGTTAGTCCATTACTATGCGAAATATTTTGTTAAAAAAGGTTCTTTTTGAAATTTTTGAATAGTGTAGATTAGAAATAATGATAACATTTGATGGTCACTATAACCTTGTTCATAAACTGTTGTTCAAAGACTTCATTGTAACGTGTGGAATGCTTTTGTTGTTGCGTGTTAAAGAACCTGTGATATGCTAAATTTATTCATATGTAAAGGTAAAAACATTTTCCTTCTTCCTTCTTTATTGTTTAACTTATATACCAGCTAAATGTTTATCAAATAATTGTCATTGTACAAACAAATATTAGGTACTCGACAAAAGTTTACAGACTTTGAGAAAAACAAAAAAAAACATTCTACGGTTTTGTACTCCCTAAATAGCGTTTTATTATATATTTTATATATTTCATGTCGTTGACATTTTTGACATTTTTTTTCATTTATTTCATTTATTTAAATTTACCAAAGTCTAGTACAGTTACTTTTTACTGGTCAAATATCAACAGAAATACTTACAATGCTATTTCACAGATTCTAAAATTTTGGTGTCAGAATCGAGAAGTAAATTTGCAAGAGGGGCAGCGCCAAATTCCCATAGACAGATCGAAAAATTGTCATTCACTAAGAAAATGATGTCCGGATTCAGAGTTTAATTATTTTTGCATTTTTATGATTTTATCAGAGATTATTTGTGTAAGACTTAAGTGTCCGTTTGAAAAATTAAAAAAAAAAATTTTTATTTTGTTCCGCCTCTTGCTTTCTCGTTTAGGACATAAGCATTTTCAAACTTGGGGACCATACGCCGCTTTTATAGATTTGCACATTAAAGATTGAAGATTTTATGATACCCGCCGTATGAACACTTCTGCGGATGTTTCTAAATTCCACAGGGGAATCACGTGACTTTGTATAGTAGTACAGTAAAGTAATCATTATTTTTTATAAAGTTAGGTGAGAAATGTTTCGTAAATCTAAACTAGACCTTTTCTATCATATGCAACAGTGACTTTTCTGTATATATAAATGTCAAGTGCATTTTCTCGTATGCTTTTTTATTGTTTTCGGGAACATTGTTTTGAAATTGTCTTCGTTCACACAAAATTTAAAACAATTTTCTCGAAAACCATAAAACGTAGGACAATGCACATGGTATTTATATTTTTTAAAGAAAGTTTACTGTGGACATGATATGCAAAGGTCTAGTTTGGATTTAGTAAACGTTTCTCACATAAATTTATAAAAATAATGAACTTGCCGAGACTCAGAAGTCGCCATTTCTCGTTTGTAATACTATACAAAGTCACGTGACTCCCCACGTGAACCTAACGTTGTCTGGTTTAAATGCTGAGTTCTGTTTAAGTTGGTGCAAACGCGAGTGAACTAAAGCTTGTACTTATTAGTACCGCCCATGAACATGCTCAATTAAAGCAAGCATGCATCATTTTTGATTCCATCGTTTTAGGCGTTCATATTTCGATTTTCTTTGTCTTATCGCTGCTTCCTGCATGTAGGTAAATATATGTAAAACATTACACAATTCTAAGTTTGTGCACATTGTTGTAAAAAGAACAACTAAAACCCAACAACCATAAACAATATTTTGTTATATCAAACTACAAAGGATTGGTTTTGAATCACTTTGATCAAAATAAATTTTGTCAGAGAATGACATACTATACATATCAAGTTCCTTTAACCTACAAACAGATGACAATAACTTAAGACATTGTCCTTAACATAAAATATCAGTTTCTAAAATTAGCCTTGTTGAAAAACCTTGTATAATTTTAGTCTCCACCTCTTAAAATCTTCAAAATCGCCTGAAAAGTCATGTAATGAATATTATAGACATCTGGGTGTTTCTGATGAAGACGTCACGTGACATTTGATAATATTTAAGCAGAGTGTTTCACCAAAATTAAGCAAAAGGATCTTGCAACAGATTACAAAGCATTAAAGTTCAAGTATGAGTGGAATGCTCAGGCTAGTTTTTGCGTTGTACCTTGTTTGTTGCGTTGCGACACAGCAAAATTTCAATTGTTACTATGAGGAAAAGTTTTTAGCAAAGGTATACCGCCTGGAATACAGAGTAGAAATGCTGGAAGAAAAAGCCAGTAAAGAAGGTAATCTAATTAATATAATTTAATTATGTTTAATTTTAATTTAATTATTCCTACGAGATCTTTACTTTTCAGAAGTTATGATTATGATAATTTAAATATGTCATTATAAAAGGTATAAAATTACATAAAAACAACAGATGCAATATTAAGCCACTCGTATAAATAGAAAAGCTGGTGTTCACGAATGAAATATATTTCAATCTTATAAGTAAAAACATTAAATTTTCTTTCTATTTCATGCTTTTTAAATGATTTTAAGTATTGTTTTACTAATTTTGCCGCGTAACGTCGTTTATGACGTCGTCACATCATGTCGTCACATCATCAATTTTGAAATATAGTTCTGTTAAATTTCTCTAATTTTGTTACATTTTAATATAATTTATGATGACGTCGACTTTCTTATCCTATAGAAGCAAAATTTATTTTGCATTTATTTTTGTCTGTTATTCCGTTTAGTTATGATATTCTTTTCATCCGTATTCAGATATTGTCCGGCTTAAGCAGAATTCTACATTTATTATGTACGAGTGGTTCATATTGGCAGAATTGATAAACATTTGGAAATAAAATATACATCTTTTTAATTACAATGTTTTAACTTTCATTAAATAATTTATTATGACTGTATATAGCAAGATGACTGTCTTTTTCATAGACAAAGATTATAAAGAATGTATGCAATGCCCAGATGGATGGATACAATACAAAGGGTCCTGTTATATGATTGTGGAAGAGAAACTATCATTTGATAAAGCACGAGTAAGTTAGATAAAAGATTTAGGCTTTTTTACATATTTTTTTTAATTGAAAATTTATTTTTTCAGCAATTTAAATGTTTTTTTTTTCACAAGACTTGTTGTGGAATGATATTTTATTGAATCAGTTGATTTATATATAATGTGTTAGAGTTTATTGTTTTAAAAGATGGCCATCACTAGAACTTCAACTTAGGTCCAAAAGTTTAAAAGATACAATTTCATTTTTTTGCATAGATCGTCTGAAACGCTTAAAACTACAAACAGTGAATGAAAAATATATGATTGAAAAATCTATATTTAAATCTTAAAGCAATTTGTAACCTGATCTGAGTTAAACGTGATTCCATTTTTTTTTTCATATCAGATCATTTTGTTCAATAACAATGATTATCTAGAAAAAACTAACGGAGAAAGCGAATGGTCTAAAATACTGTGATTAGATCTTCATCATTTTAGAATACTAATTTGGGATAAAAAATATTTCCTGTCCTGTTAAGTAGAATATTTTAAGTCCCTTTTAAAATGATAAATTAATCACAAGTCTGTTATTTTCAGGCCAATTGTCAAAAGTTTAATGCTGATTTAGTCCATATAGACAACGCAGACGAGAACACGTTCATTAGAAACCATCTTAGAACATTAAAAGGTATGTAAACTAATTGGCTATTTCATAACTTGGTCAAAGGTGAAACCTTGATTTAAATTTTATATTTTATGATTGAGAAGTGCGACGAAAGGATAAAAAAATGAACCAAAAGCAGCCACATTAACAATCACAACACCTCGTGTTCACTTAGATTTAAGGATAAGAAAACTTGCTATCTGATAGCTAGCATTCAAAAAGTATAATAATACGTTTTTTTTATCCTGATCTTTTCTTTGTGAATACTGGTCATGGATGAAATTATCAACATATAAGATGTATAAACCGTATCAAATTATTATGAACTGTGCAGGCAACATGTTCTATAACTTTAGAATTGTGCAGACCAAGAACATCTGGCACATATGACCGTTTGATCATGGTCTGCACTGTTCGATATGCAATAAGTATACATTTGAAATTTTCAACAAAAAAAATGATAAATGATTTTGTTCAGACTGAATGATTGACAAATTAATCATTGTATTGGTCAAAAGCCATTTATGTATGACCATAACTTATATGCAATGCAACCTGTAAATAAAATATGTTTGCTCCAATTGTTGAAAATAATTGAATTGATACACTTTAATCACTAAATTTTTTTCCTTGTTTCGCTCAATGGTCAGCTTGATTAACTTACTGACATTAGACCAATGAGAAATATTAAAAGGGGAGCGGTGGCCTAGTTGTTCAAGTGTCTGCCTCTCAACTTAGAGATCATGAGTTCGACACCTACTCAGGTCGCGACCATGTTTCTTCATATGACACCAGTACTGATTGGTTCCAGGAAGCGGACTCGAAAGTGATTAATTTAAGTTGTAAGAACTTGTTCCGCAATCGAGCTAAAATAACTACGTTTAAACCGAGAAACATTAATTGTGCAATTGCACTGCATGATAAAAATAACGACTTTGCTCAATATACTGTTCATTCATTATTATTTTATTATTCTTATTATTATTTTTATTTATTTATTCATTTTTTTTGCCGGCAGGGGAGTCTAGAGATTTATCTTTAAATAACTTGACGGAATTTTGAATTCTTTGCGTATCTGAAAATCATGAATCAGTCTTATCTTGGATGTCATTTACAGGTATTGACTTTTGGATTGGACTCACAGACGCTGCCACAGAAGGTCTTTTCAAATGGGTTGATGATAACTCTAGGGCAACTTTTACAGACTGGTATCCATCCCAACCTGATAATGGCGGGAATAGAGAAGACTGTGTACACTTTAAAGCGATTGGGAATATTCAGTGGAATGACAGAGAATGTTATAGTACTGAGAAGTCTATTTGTGAAAAGAAAATCATGTTTTAAAACTAGATTAGACTTGATTAACCATTTCAATAGAAATTCTCTTGACATTATAATATACGGATATCTATGAGCCGCGTCACGACAAAACCAACATAATGGGTTTGCGACCAGCATAGATCCAGACCAGCCTGCGCATCCGCGCAGTCTGATCAGGATCCATGCTGTTCGCTATCAGTTTCTCTACTTGTAATAGGGTTGGTAAGCGAACAACATGGATCCTGATCAGACTGCGCGGATGCGCAGGCTGGTCTGGATCCATGCTGGTCGCAAACCCATTATGTTGGTTTTGTCATGACGCGGCTCATATTGCCTCTCTCAATGCAACTGAAAACTGAATAATTATGACCTTCTGATTTATAGATATGAGACATCTGTTCTTGCAATTAAAACACATATGAAAATTTTTTTTATCAATCTTTCCATTTTGTTTTTAAAAACAAATATTGTCCAAAATCAAGCAACAACAAAAACATTCCACCCATCTAAAATCACGAACATTAAAATCCCCCTCCCCAAATAATAAAGTGTAACTCGAATAGGAGAGTGTATAGAGACCGACATTAGCCACGGCTGATGCTATATTTTGTCTTTCCCAAGGATATCACTTATCTGTGTCTGCTTAATATCAGAATTGGTTATCAAAAAATGATGAAAAACCATGGAATTACCCAAAATCGAGTTTTTCAATGTTAACACTTGGCGTTACACATAATTTTAGTGAACAATTGTTGTTTTGTGGCATATTGTCAAGTTTAGCAGTTTGAACTTATTGCAGGAGGCTTTTCAATGAAAAGAGCCATTTTTCAAATGGCTGCTTTCATTGGAAAGCCTTCTGTTACAAATTCAAACTGCTATGTTCAAATGGCTGTATTCATTGAAAAGACTTCTGTTACAAGTTCAAACTGCTATGAAATGCTTCAATACTGATGAATATTGGCACAAATGTTGACTGGACCACAGCCTCTGTAACAGCATTTTCCTTTACCATGGCAATGGGGGATGTCTCAAAATTGCAAAAAATCGCTATTTTGCATTGTTTTTTCCCCATCAAAACTGATTTCAAAGTGCTGCAACTACTTCACAATGAATTGAGAGATAGAGTAAAACGCTTTTGAGCGTTGGTTACATGTTACCTCAAGATCGGCCGGATGCCATTTTTAGCTTCTCACAAGTCAAAAATTATCTTGACACGTTCCCCCGCTGACATCCCCTTCATGTACCTTTTGATAAGGGGCGGCGCCGAAAAAAAATGATCACATTTTTAACAACATCTCTCTAAGGAAAAACAATGTTCCGGGCCCAAATAGGGCATTTTTTTCACTATTTGAGGTCTCTAAAGGAATGGGGGATGAAAAGCCGTCAAAACACGTCTATATGTTAGTTTTTAGCAAGTTTCCTAAATTTTACTTTTAAACAAGCGAAATACTGGGATTTATTTATGAAGAAACCCCCAAATCACCCGCCGCTTATAACTCACATTGTTTGGGATATTTTACGTAGCCGTTTGACATTATCCTTTTAAGCATGACTGTTTCACGCGATTAAATGAAACAGTAAAAAATATCAGATTTTTTTATTAATATTAAATCTATTTATTTCATTCTTTCATTATTTGAAGTGTCGCGAATTTCTGCATCAAAGGGGAGTAACCCATCCGGCAACCTTTTGATGATTTACAGTGTTTCGCCCCTTTGATTCGTACAAAATGTCGGAAACAAACCGAATTATTCTTCCTTTTAAATTGTTAATTAAGTTTCTTAATTTTTACAAATTTCATGTTGCAGATGCGAAACTGAAAAATAATAATTAAGTAATAATGTAAAGATGTATAAAAACTATCATAAAAGTGTGTAAAAAGCTGTTTTCATCCATAGAACCACATAAAAAACCGGCTTGTAAATAATGACCCGATCAGTAAGTCAGTGATTTTATGATTTTTTAAAGGCCCATAATGCCTCAGAAATGCTTTTATTTTTATTTCTAACAAAAACTATTTCATACATTAACACATACAATAATTTTTTATTTTTCATTTTAGATGAAAAGTAATGTTGATGGACATGTCTTAAACAACAGCATGTGCATTGAAACATTTTAATAACTTATAAAAATAATACAAACAAACATTTAAAACACAACAATATTTCAATAATATTTACTATCTCTCCACATGAATTTCATATGGTAATTGTTTTTTGGTATCATTTGTTTTATTGTAATAATATATACTTAAAATGGCAACAATGACGACAACTATTAATACAGTGCTATAAATAGATATTAAAAACCATATCGAGCACGTGTATACTAATTTATTACAATCACGTGACTCAGTGTCGTCTGCTACTTCCCTTACGTGCTGGTAAATTCCGAATGTCCATATAGAGCCTGAAATTAGAAAATGACAAAAAATGTTCTCATGTTACATGCATGTAAATAAATAAAAAATAAATAAATAAATAAATAAACGTTCACGCAGCGAAAGTCGTTTTAAATGTTTTAAATGTTATTCTAGACTGTATTTCGGCGGCACACTCACCATACGAAGGATCGTTTGAGGAAAAAAAATGAGCCGCGTCACGACAAAACCAACAAAGTGGGTTTGCGACCAGCATGGATCCAGACCAGCCTGCGCATCCGCGCAGTCTTATCAGGATCCATGCTGTTCGCTATCGGTTTCTGTACTTATAATAGGGTTTGTAAGCGAACAGCATCGATCCTGATCAGACTGCGCGGATGCGCAGGCTGGTCTGGATCCATGCTGGTCGCAAACCCATAATGTTGGTTTTGTCATGACACGGCTCAAATTAAATTTCTACAGTTTGATATATGAAAAGAATTTCGACCACCATTGGGAAAATTATTCCCAACAAAGCATGACAAATGAGTTTTAAGATGGCATGGGGTGTTCTTAAACTATAATAGCTTTATACAGTCATGTATTACTACGCTTGAAGAATTTGACAATTTTAAAATGTAAAAATCTATATATTTTGATGTCTGTGAAGTGTAAAATAATTATTTATATTGTGATTCAACTATTACAGAATACCTAGTAAGTGTAAACGAGTGGGTCATGTGTAAAATTATCTCCAAATCTACTATAATAGCAGCTTGATGCATTTTTGCAATTAACTTCAGCTATAGTTACTGAGTATTCTGTATGGAAGTAAAAATACTGCTCTTTCACATTATCCTACTTAAATAATTTAGCATTCGGTGCTACTTCTTCAATGATAAGCATTTAACATTCTCTAAAACCATGACGTTATAGATTATATGATTGCCTTTCTGAAAAAACAAAAACAAAAAACAACAACATTTTTTTCGTTTCTGAGGCATACTATGCCTTTTAAATAAGTCGTTTACTGAATTTAACACTTTTGACTTCTCTTCTCATGGGGAAATTGGTGAATGGCACCGGAAGTGCTTGAAACAACAATCCTTGGTATAATTCAAGATGCATGTACTGCAGATACATTAACCATCAAGTCAGTCACCGTCCTTTCACAAAAGTATGCTATTTAAAGATCTTAAGTGACTGTTCGACTTAATGAATATGTGCCAAAATTTGCCTGCCTATACGATAACTAAGAATGTCATTCTTTTTAATTTGAGATATTTCATTGGTCGGCAAATGATGTTGAAAACTTAGCTCAACTGTATTTTCTTGTAGTAAGAAACAGACGAATCCGAAGTAAAATTTTAGAGTACTTGATAGGACGAAATTCCCTTTGTATAAGTCTTATTTCCGCGTAAACTAGCTACTTTTTGGTGTTCCCTTTTTTTAAGCGACCAGCTTGTAAACAGCTACCATGAACAATATCTGATGATAACAAATTGATTAAATACCGTGTGTTTATAACATAAAACTTTCTATTAATGTACCGATATAGATATTGACATTAAAATCTTTTACATCAAAGCGTGGACAAAACAATACTTTTTTTTAGAAAAGCCCCACTTTTTAAAGACATAAGTGGGGGTGGTACGGGGGGGGGGGGGTCGTTGGTAAGCTCACCCGAGTCACCGACTTTGTCACGTCACATTGAAACTTTATTGGTGGGTGAAGACTTGCAAATTGCCCCTCCGTTCATTCTTTAAGGCACGAACGGGCACCTGAGTAGAACGATCGACTTTTCTTAATATGGTTGGATAGCTTCCTCATATGGATGGATTCGAACCCTCAGCAGTTAGAGGCGAGTCATTTAATCAAGGACCTAAACCAATCGGCCAAGGAAAAAATTCTACCAATGTAAAATGTTTTCAACAAAACATGTTTATCATAATTTAAGAAATATTCATATATTTGCAGGAAATATATCTACAATAATGATTACTAGCGCAATAGGTCTTCTTAGTACTAGAGATAGTCCGTTTCCATGGTTTCAAACTCCACTAGATGCGCGACTTTTATTGACATGTGATCATTATCTATGTCTGAATATACACACATTCCTAGATAATTCTTTCTTTCTATGGTTACTTACCGGTTAAAGTCCAGAAAACCAAGAAAATTGATAATATATCAGTGCACGTATCGAGTGTATTCCTTTCATTGTCCTCGTGTGTTCGTCTGTGACACGTGTTAAATAAGTTTAAAAATGTTTTAAGAATAATGGCAACTCCTTCTAGCACCAGAAATAATGGCAGTTCTTGTTCATATGGACACTCGCGAAATCTAATGACACCTGGAAAATGAACGCATGCTCATTATAAATGAGAAAGCAGTAGGGATAATATAATGCTCACGTACACATATTAATTGTGTTTTAAATGCGATATTGATAGTGATTTACTTAAGACATAATGACTTAAGATAGTAATTTTGCAATACAATATGTGTCATACGTTTTTCAATATACATTAAACATAAATGAACAGTTAATCCTATTTAAGGAACGACAACTAGACGACGACGACAACAACAACAGCATCATCATCAACAACAACAAATACATCATCTTCATCATCATCAACATCATCATCATCATCATCATCATCATCATCATCAACAACAACAACAACAACAACATCATCATCATCATAAACAACAACATCATCATCTTCAAATACAACATCATCAGCTACAACAACAATAACAACAACAACAACACCAGCAGCAGCAGCATTAAAATAACATGTATCTGATCATGTATCCAAAAATCCATACATATAATTCTTCTGTGGTTTGTTTTCACGTATGATACGGAATATATTATCAACAACATTGTAATTAAATATTATGGTATAACAAATCTTTTATTATAGACAAATTCACTTTAATACAAAATAATTATCAGAATTCCGTTCAAAGTTGGAACTTAAGTGACATTAATAAGGAAACCGGTTAAGTTAAAATCTCGCAGTTTTCTTTTCTAATTAGGTTAACAAGTATGTAACGTCAATAGGTCAAACATATCTTAGGTTGTAATTTACAGACTGCACATTTGAGCCGCGTCACGACAAAACCAACATAGTACGTTTGCGACCACTATGGATCCAGATCAGCCTGCGCATCCGCGCAGTCTGATCAGGATCCATGCTGTTCGCTATCAGTTTCTCCACTTGTTATAGAGTTGGTAAGTGAACAGCATGGATCCTGATCAGACTGCGCGGATGCGCAGGCCGGTCTGGATCCATGCTGGTCGCATACGCACTATGTTGGTTTTGTCGTGACGCGGCTCATTTATAACCACTTACCGATGATAAAAATAAATATTGCTACAACAGTCAGCAAGGTCCGACAGACAACTGCAGAGGCTGAAAAAAACAACAGTAAGTAAAAAGATTATTTCGTAAAGGCACATTATGCCTAAGAAATTCTTTTTTTTTCAAAATTCTTTAGAAATATAAAACATGGGTTAAGTAATATTTAAATAAGGGATTAAGAAATGTTAAATGTTTAACATTTGAAGAAAAAAGCACTGAACGTGCAGTAATGAGTCGTAAAGGTAGCAAAATGTAAACCAAGTAGTATTTTGACTTCCATACAAAATACTGTTTCACAATGATCATACCGATTGTCAACATAGCAAAAGAACTAAAAGATATGTCATGAATATGGCTAATAAAAACTGTTACAAGATATCAAAACTAAAAAAGTTTTTGAGAAAAAAAAATTGATAGAATTTCCGAGGCATAATGGGCCTTTAAACGATTGAGACGTAAATAGAGCAACAGTGAATTAACTTGACAATCTCAACAGAATATAATTATAATGTTGACAATTGACATATAAACATACATTACAATAACAATTAATTATAAATCTGTCGAAAATTACTCAAAAACGCTTTTAAGATCGCTATGTTGTACCAAGTGATCTATCATTTAGAGATAGCGTTAAGTTTGATAACTGTTTATTTTATGGGTTTTTTAGGGGGGGGGGGGTATTATGAGTCAGACCGAGTTATGCAAAGGTCGTGTATAGTCTGATTTTATTGACCTGTCAATTATGAATACATTATAGCACTCATTTAAATATTCGATCCTACTTCGGTTTTGTCCGTTTATTTTACGAGAATAAATATGGAGTATAAAGCTAACTTTTAGAAAACCCCCACTAGCTTAATGTAGGTTCTTGTAACATCCGCAATAGCAAAGACGGTTAAGTGACTACCTTATGTATGAGAGGTCCGAGGTTCGATCCCTTCTTTTGACATTTTTTAGACGTCACTTATTTTTAGACTTATTTTTTCTTTATTTTTAAGCAAATTATAATGAAAATGATCAAGCGCTTTCAGAATTTTCTACACAGATATGAAACAACTAAGAAACACTGACTTGTCACGTTTATTATTGTATTTTACGGCACTGAAATGACATTAATTTTATTGATCCGAATGAATTTTGAATATTAATTCTTTAACAATGTTATTTAAAATTAAGAGTTTTTTTTTTGTTTTTATGAGCTTATTTTACTTATGGACGTTGGTCCAGGTGGTTTATATACAAAAAGATAGTATTAACAAAAAAGTGCAAAACCTATTAACACAGAGGGAACAAACTTAAAAAATATCGAAAATAGTTATAAATTAGAAAAAATGTCTGGACATACGCTGTCTCGATCTTACAACACGTAGGCCATTTAGAGATTATATACCCATAGTTTACCCTATTGCGCTATAACGGTCAGTGTAACTAATGCAAAGAAACCAGATGAAATTAATCATATCTTACTGCTTAAATTTCACGGAATTAACCGAACATTTATCGAATATTAATATATTCTGTGCATTGACCGTATAATCAGTATGGAATTGACAGGTTAATAAAATCAAACAATAGCGACTTTCTCCTAGGTAAATAATGAAGATCTCGTATGCCCATTCGTGCATTATTTAAGGCACGAGTGGTAATCTAATTGACAGAGTCGGGGTCAGTACTCTCTGTGCCTGAAAGGGCGGATGGACGTTTATTAAGCTTAGAACACACACAGACTATTTGACAGAGTAGAACAACTGACCTTCTGTTAGCTTGCTTGGATAGAATCCTCACTTGAAGGAACCCAAAGTGCCTGCCAGGGATCGAACCATTTACGGCGAGTTACAAGAAAACAGGGCACGAAGTACTCTTAATTATTTATTGAAAGTTTTTCTTACTATTGCAAAGATAAGCTTCTTAAAAGGACACGTAGCTTATCATTTTACTGACCGACGAAACTGTTTTTCATCCCTAAGCCCTCTATGCGGTTTCATCCTTGCACTTTTTCTTAAGTTGAAGATGATTTACGGTAACAACTTAATACAATTACTACCGATAAATTTAATAATATATATTCCTTACTTATTGAAGAACAGACAAGAGAAGATATCTTACACGAGTTACGGAAGACCACGGATACATGTGACAGGAAACCGGAAAGACTATCTTCCTGGGACACAGCTGCTTGTATTGCAAGTAGAATGGATGTCTCGTGCTGTTTAGGGAACGCTGAAAAAAAGAAAGAGTAAAAGACTGTGAAAATATCTATGTAACATTATGTTCATTATGTTCATAAGACGTAGACATAAGGATTGCTAAAATATCAGTCTTTTGTATTCAATTTTTCTATGCATTTTGTATTTGTATGTGTTAGTTTTTTTTTACTGTGGTGGACACCACTAGACCACATTAAAAGAATGTTTGTAGTTTGAAGGGGGAAGTTAAATGCATTCAAAATTTTCCATAGTCTTAGTATGACATAATAAAGCTCAGTTTCAAGACCACGGTAACTTTTTTGTTAGTTTTGGAAGCACTAAAATAAATGAGAAAATCAGCATTACAACTATTTGGTTTGATGTACAACTATGCTCTGTTGCCAACAGTTCACGCAGTCTAGGATTTATTCATCTATGTTGAATAATCGTGAAGAATTTGTGACATGCTTGTGTGTTTGATTAATCATTTGAATTTTCATGATGAAAATAAGTAAAAAAGTGTGCACTATACATTAAAGTGACATTATGCTCATGCTTTTTTATATTGTTAAGTTCAGCTAAATTAAATTCATATTTTAAAAGATCGACTGATATAAATGTGATTGACCAACAATTGATATTGGAAAATGTTAAGGATAAAATATAAATCTACCTAAATATAAAAATACTGCCCCACTCTCTTTATAAATTGAAAGTTACAGGTAAATCCTAATGGATAGTCACATCAATTTCCTTTCGCCAAGTGAGATATATATCGTTTACGCAAAGTAAATTATAATATTCAAAGGTATGATGGCAAAATGTAAATTAATTTATTTTGACTTTTACTTGTGAACTCCCTGTATACCCTTGGATAAGCATAATGAAAGATAGTGATGGGTCAAAAAAACGCTTTACGGAAACGCACAAATATTAAAGGCACATCATGTCTAAGAAATTATTTTTTTTAAAATTCTTTAGAAATATGAAACATGTGTTAAGTGATATTTAAATAAGGGATTAAGAAATGTTACGTGTTTAAAATCTGAAGAAAGTAGCACTGAACGTGCAGTAAAGAGTCGTAAAGGTAGCAAATTGTAAACAAGTAGTCTTTTGACTTCCATACAAAATACTTTTTCACAATAATTATACCAAATGTCAACATAAAAAAAGAAACAAAAGATATGTCATGAATATGACTAATAATATATTTTTGGAAACTGTTATAAGATATCAAAACGAAAAAGTTTTTTAGAAATAAAATTGATAGCATTTCTGAGGCATAATGGGCCTTTAAAGGAACTCCACTAAACACTGGTTAGTCAACTGGTACACTTAAAAAAAAGATAGTATACAATATATTCGATATTGAATTGATAATCGCTTCTATAGGATTCTTTGGCCGATTTGAATGAAAAACCGTTGCAATGCTCATTACTTCGGGATCAATTTGCACAATTAAATTGATTGTTCCTGGGAAATATAATGATCAAATGATCTGAAATTGTACACGAGTTAAAGGTCCAGACCTACATCCAGTTTTACGAAAATCTTTAAACATAGTTTCGGTCCTTTCACGTGAAAATCCCCAGCGGAGTCCCTTTAAACCGGTGTGCGCACTCATTTTAACTGTTGAAAGCGATTATTATTTTCTTATCATAGTCTGAATAATAAAATTGCATAAAAGAAGTAGAAAAAAAACAACAAACAACTGAAACCCAAGGTTAAAGGAAAAATAATTGCCATTATCACAATAATTGAATAAGCTTTAATTTAAAAAAGAAAAGAAAATTAACTTGTCAAGATTTACAATACAATTTATTTGTGCTAATACAAGCGTTTGCAAGGAACGCACCATTGCGCTTGTTATATAACAATGTCGTTCTACTACATATGGGGCATGTAACACGAACGCATATCGTGAGTTCGTGAGCTATTCCATGTACAAGGTTGACCCACTGTTAAGCTAATAGGACTTTAGGGAAGTTTAGGGACATAGTTTCTACCTAGATTTTAATCTCAGTCTTAAGCAAAATATGGATTTGCATCTGGGACTTCACTCCACAAGTAAGGGTGGAAGATTGTCATTTGATCTATAAATACAGTGTCCGTGATATATCTTTCACATGACATCCACATACACGTGACCATTTTGAAAAAAAAATTGTAAAGGGGGACAATAAGGATGTAAAGGGAGACAATAAGGATGTAAGGGGAGAAAGTAAGGATGTAAAGGGAGAAAATAAGGATGAAAAGGGAGACAATAAGGTTGAAAAAGGTAGACAATAAGGATATAAGCGGAGAAAGTAAGGATGTAAAGGGAAATAATAAGGATGAAAAGGGAGACAATAAGGTTGAAAAGGGAGACAATAAGGATGTAAAGGGAGATAATAAGGTTGTAAAGGGAGACAATAAGGATGTAAAGGAGACAATCGGGATGTAAAGGGAGACAATAAGGATGTAATGGGAGACAATAAGGCTGTAAAGGGAGATAATAAGGTTGTAAAGGGAGACAATAAGGATGTAAAGGGAGACAATTAGGATGTAAAGTGAGACAAAAAGAACACTGTTTCTCTTTGTTAGTCTCTTATTCAAAAATTGAATATGAATATGATAAAACATGATTGATTTCATGCTGAAACGAAATGTTTTAAAAGCACATTATGCCATAAAAATCCAAATTTATTTAATTCTTTAAAATGTCAAACATATGTTTAATAATGGATTAAGATCATATTTGCAGAAAGAAGCGCTGAATGTGCAGTAGTTTGTCGTAAAGGTATCAAAATGTTAACAAAGTAGTATTTTGACTTACATACAAAATACTTATTCAATATATGAATTAAACTAACTGCCAACAATACAACAGGAGCAAAGATTTACCTTTATGGCAATTGACTATTTTTCTTTGAAACTGTGACATAATACCAAAAATAAAAGAATTTATTGAGAAATAAAAATGATAGCATTTCTTAGGCATAATGGGCCTTTAAATGTTCATACTCGAAAGTAAATACATATTAACTGCATATTATCAAACTATCCTATAACGTTATAATAGGACGCTTTTTTTGAAACATAAAATAGCAAAATTTAAAACTTGATTTAAGCTAAAGATAACGACAATAACTATACAACAGATCGAATGACTAATAAATGATTCCAAAGTCTTTGAAAACAGATGTCCTTATGTTTGAACGTTTAACCTTTTACGTCTCGTCTACACCATCCAGTATAAAACAAAATCTTTTATTACACCGCGATCAATCAAAGATAATCTATCACTAGGCATTGATGATTTTTTATAAGTTGATTATATTTGAATGACATGAAAAAGGCTCTGCCAAGAAAGCGTCCCGTAACAAGGTCATAATTTTAAGTTTTTACGCTATCAATATCTTGAAGTCATTGAATTCTTTGATAATTTGATATATTTTGTTGTTGTCAGGAATTGTAATCACACGTACGCAAGATTTTATCTGACACATTTTTTAAATGAGCCGCGTCACGACAAAACCAACATAATGGGTTTGCGACTAGCATGGATCCAGACCAGCCTGCGCATCCGCGCAGTCTGATCAGGATCCATGCTGTTCGCTATCAGTTTCTCCACTTGTAATAGTGTTGGTAAGCGAACAGCATGGATCCTGATCAGACTGCGCGGATGCGCAGGCTGGTCTAGATCCATGCTGGTCGCAAACGCATTATGTTGGTTTTGTCGTGACACGGCTCAAATTTAGTTTTACAAAATCTGGTAAACCAATCAAAAACTAATATTTTACTAGTAGGTCATTTTCATATATTGATTTAATTTTACAAACACAGTGCAAATGAACTAACGATTGCATATCTTGTTTAATTTAAAAAATAAAACGAACGGACGGACGAATGAACGAACGAACGGAACTTAAGAAATGAAACAAAACAAACTTAATAACTAAAACCCAATTTTCAAAAAGAAAGAGATTAAAAAAATGAAAGGTTCCTGTTAACTTCAAATAACTTATTGATCAAGTAATCTTTAAAGTTAAGAAAAAATGTTTAATTATGTTTACAAGCAAACAAAATCCGTGTGTACAAAGATTTTTTATCATAGTTAAAGGCTCATTATGTCTCACAGATGGATACAAAAAAATGTATTTTATTTTCATTCTGCAGACAGGATAAATCTGTTAATTATGTTGTAATATTGGAGTTAGAATATATGAGATACTTATCACCTGTATAAAAATTGCGTCGAAATACTTTTTTCTAAAAAGGTATTAAAATGTAAACGAAGTGGTATTTTGACTTTCACAAAAAGTACTAAATCACTTTAACGACATACTAATTGCCAGAAAGCAAATGGAGCAAAACATGTTTCAGCTAAATATTGTTAATGAGTAACTTTTTTTGGAATCTGAAACAGGATACCAAAACTAAAAGCTGTAAATTTGAGAAATAAAAATACTACCATTTTTGTGACTTGGTGGGCCTTTAACGGTTAAAGTACATTCCTGTGTTGCAGCGATACTAATATTAAAATTTTAAAGGTTTGATTCGATGCGAAGTTTGTTCAATAAAGTGAAAAATAAGACGCCGAACTTAAAACAGACCATGTCCGTTGAAGAATTATAAACAACTGAACACTTTTGTTGATGAAGCATAACTTATTCAGGATGTGTTAAATTAGAGTGGCAGTGCTAGTCATGGCTGTTCATGTAGTATACTTTTCAGTACAAACATAAATGTAAGTTTAGCTGCCCCTCACCGCAGTGGGTTCGAATCCCGACAGGAACTTTGAATTCTCTCATGTTAGAAAGCTATATCGAGCTAGCTAACGGAACGTTCTTCTCAGGTGCCCTTTCGTGCATGAACAATTTACACGGAAGGGCACCTGAGGTCTTCCTTCACCAATAAAGCTGGAAAGTCGCCATATGACCTGTACTGTGTTGGTGCAAATGTAAAAACCGAAAAAAAGTAAAACTTCCATTTTTAATTTGCAACTACCGAAACAATCTGAACTTTAGTATTTAAAATGTCTCTGAAAAACTGCTAGTTGCACATTGCAGTAAAGTAAAATCGAATTCAATAAAAAAAATACCTGAGCATTTAAAAATCTCCGTATAATTCTCCGAATCACTCGAATACGTGTCTGTGTTTGTGCTCACTAAGCCTTCTTTCTCCCTTGAATACATTTACGCTTATTATTTACAACTGTTTCATAAAGAAAAAAGTTTTAAAGACGCGGAAATGTATAGTCCCCACTATGACTCACGCAATGTTCATTGTATTTTTCTTCCGTATTTAGACTTTAATTAAAACAAAAATCACATATATTTGTCTGCGTTGCATATTATCATCTGCCACATTTGCCAAAGGGTACCATGTTATTAATTTACTTTATAACTCACATATCCTATCCTTTTAGCCTAAGTTTTAGCTAGCTTTGAACTATTTTTCTGTCTTCCTTAAAGGTAAGTTTGACGAAAAAGATTGCCCACGTGCTTGTAGTAAACTACCTCATAAAATCCAAGTTGTTTGTTTACAATCTATTCACAATCCATTGAAAAGCGTCGCGAATGATCGCATTTTAAAACGTTTTTCAAATACTTTATTTTGAATTTAACGATGATGTGTTATTTGAGGTCACAGATATTAAGTTTTTTTTGGTTTAAAGCTTTTAACGAGCTTTAAATCAAGGCTGTTTACAGAAATTTTGTTACAGTTCATAACAAATTATGTGTACAGGTAGAATATCCCATGCTGTGCCTTTTTCAACGATTTATAAAATCTAGTTTATTATATCGCAATATGTTACTTGCGATCTATCTGAAATAGCCTGATTTGTTTTTTTAAAAACTATACAGTAACACCTGTTTTGATTGATATGGAGTACGTACACAAATAAGGCAAGTTAAATATATACTGCCGTAAAACCAAACTTAATTGCAATTCACGCAGACCACATGCTTTAATTCTCGTTTTGTTTCTACAACAATGAAGTCAAACACGACATTAAAATCCGACAATTTTCTCTTCAGTTAGTCTATATTTAATTAATAAAGCATGTTTTTTTAAAAAAAAAAAGGGTGACGCCCTCTTTTTGAAGAAAACTTATTTCACTGTGTTACAGGCTACATATTTTCGTATAAATTAGTTGGAGATGTGAAGTACACATGAAGATATAAGTGACCATACCGAACATAGCTGTAACTTAATCAGGCGACTTGACCTCGGCATGACCTTTATATATTAGTAAACTAGGTGGTATAATTGATTATACATTAAATACGTCGTAATCTACCGTCAAGACCGACACCGCCGACGGCCATTAGTTATCTTTATATCATATTGACGTGTTACACAGAAAACATACATTATATACTTTTTATACATGTAGTTTTAGGCTATGAAGTGCCTTGAATGTCTGTCATTCAATAAAGACTTAGACTTACACTTAGTCCGGCAGACCCCTTATGTCATTCAGTAATGTTTTTGATGCTGTAATAAGTCAATTAAAAGTGTATAAAGCAATATATGGATTGTAAAATTATTTTTATATACCGGTATTGGTTAAATCTGCATGCCTCCAGATGAGCCAAAAATTCTAAAAATAATATTATTTGATAAAAATTTACAAAAATTACAAGTAAAAATATTCACAGCGCAAAAAAATGATTGCTAGTCATTTACAATAAATGAATGATTTATTTGCATTCTATCATCATGTTTCTTTCCCGTGACTAACGCAGTAAGGGCTATTTTTGAATATTTTGACCTTTATGTCAAATTGGTAATCGAATTGAAATCGAATAGTATATCCTTGAAATCATAGATAAACTTTCTAAACTAGCAGCACCAGAACAATGATTCTGATTACCCTGGTTATTCTGATCTTCTGTTGTTAAATATTGGTTTCTAAGGCTTAATGAGCCTTTAAGTTAGCAACATCGATTGTTATTTTATCATTGGAGTAAATAATGTTATTCATTTATACATTGCATTTGTCTGTCCTTTTCGGGATATCAGCAAACCTTAAAGGCACATTATGTCTCAGAAATTCGTACTTTTTTAATTCTTTAGATTTGTCAAACATGTATTAAATAATGTTTTAATATTACATTACACAATATTACATTACATTACATTGCATTACATTTAGAACTTTTTAGATGTTAACAGCAAAAGAAAGTAACGATGAACGTGCAGTAATGCGTCGTAAAAGAAGCAAAATATTCACTATATTTATACCAACTGCCAAAAGAGCAAAAGTAGCAAAAGAGTGTTCATGAATATGGCTATTTAGTATTTTTTTTTGAAACTGTAACAAGATACAAAAAAAAAGTTTTTAAGAAATAAAATTCATAGAATTTCTTAGGCTTTATGGGCCTTTAATGAAATGATTAGGTTCAATGAAATGATTAGGTTCATATATTTATATATAAAACTATATATACACACCAACACCAATACCAACAACAATTATCTCTGCTACACTCACAGACAATAGTTATTTCAAAATTCAACAATAATCATATGAGCCGCGTCACAACAAAACCAACATAATTGGTTTGCGACCAGCATGGATCCAGACCAGCCTGCGCATCCGCGCAGTCTGATCAGGATCCATGCTGTTCGCTATCAGTTTCTCTACTTGTTATAGAGTTTGTAAGCGAACAGCATGGATCCTGATCGGATTGCGCGGCGCGGATGCGCAGGCTGGTCTTGATCCATGCTGGTCGCAAACGCATTATGTTGGTTTTGTCGTGATGCGGCTCAATTATATTTTTAGCTGACAACGTAAGTCTCGTCTCACCTTGCCTTTCACCAAGCCTTTCATTTTTATTACTGTAGCTCGGAATGCTATCCATCTTTTCTTTATTAAATACACAAATGTCCTTCCGTTAAATTAACACCGTTACATGCAATGTTTTCTTCAGAATTACATTGTTCATAATACTTTCATTGTCAATACACACTTGTCCAAAACTGCTGTACATTGTATGAACACGGAAGATGTTTAAAAATATAATTAGTAAGATCAATTAAAATGGTAATCATTTCCGACATTATACATGTACGTTTTGTCCTAGGGCAAAACAATCATAATGACCTCATATTGAAAACGTTCAAAATTGCATTTGAGCTAGATCAAGAATGATCAAATAGAAAACGCACTTAATTGCACATGCATTGCATAAAACTTTTAAAAAGAACATATTTTATTAAACGTAAACTATACAGTTTCTGGTGTTTAACAATGAATAATACATATAAATATAATATAATATAATATAATATAATATAATATAATATAATATAATATAATATAATATATATAATAAATATAATATAATATAATATAATATAATAATATATAATATAATATAATATAATATAATATAATATAATATAATATAATATAATATAATATAATATAATATAATATAATATAATATAATATAATATAATATAATATAATATAATATAATATAATATAATATAATATAATATAATATATAATATAATATAATATAATATAAAGATAAAGATAAATATAAATATAATTTAAATATAATATAATATAATATAATATAATATAATATAATATAATTAATATAATATATATAATATAATATAATATTGAACGATACATATAGGATCAAAAGTGAATGAAATTATTATATATAACACAATAATGGATGAACTAGTATTTTTTTAAGAAACAACATGCATTCGTTATATAATGAAAAACAAAAAAACAACACGTAATTGCATGTTAAAGAACAAAGAAAAAAAAACACATGTACTTGCATTATGTGATAATGTTGGAATTCAACAGATACTTAAAATGGAAAGTAGGAACTATAATAAAATACCTAAACAGTTCAAAAAGGGAATCGTTAAAATGTGAATATAATATGTTGTATATTAATTGTAAATGAATTACCATACTTCAAGGAGTTACATTGGCACATTTGAAAGAATTTGATTTCTAATTTTAAAAGCCTCGTAAATATATTTGCTAAACGTAAGTAATTCTGAAAAATTTTGACTATTTAAAAGGTTAACAAATTTTAACATGCTTGGTTTTTGTCTGTAAAATTTTATATATTTTTGACGAATTAAATTGTTTTGTCGAAAAACAAAAACAAAATGATATTCTATTCTTTAAACTAATAAAGTTTTAACATGCATTTCTTTTATTTTGAATAATATACATTTTAAATCTTTGCAAATCGTATTGAAGTCAGACAAAACATCTGTCACATGCACCACATTTGAACTAAAACCAATAGATTGATGCTATTATTATGTTTTTATTAAAAAGCAAAACTCAATAAATTGTTGGTGATTTTTTTAAAGACAGACAATTGAACATATGTGCTTATTATCAAAATTTGTCGTGCGAAAGAACTGTTAAAATGTCTCAAAAGGATGTGAAATAACGAAATAGCACAATATAACAGATGAAAACCGAATACACATTTTCAATTGAAAGGGAGCTAATTCAATATCATATCTCTGTGGCATTTATGCAGTTGCTGCCCTTTGGTTATTCCCCGCAGGGTATTGGTACGCGTTTAACTTTTGAGGCATGGAGGAGCACGTGACAAGTTTTCGGTACATGGAGGAGCATGTGATCTGTAAACCGTACATGATTGGTTAATTGACCTTTTCGAAAACCAAGCTAAATACCGTTTGCCGGTACGTTACGGATTTACCTCTAGGGAATTAGTCCGAATCAACAAAAAACTATTACGTGATATTTCTAATTTTCTATAATTATTTTACCGTTTAAGGTGGAAAAACTTGAATGATGTGTTTGAAAATTATCAATGGTTCTTTAATATCTATCTCAAATTTTACAAACAATAAATTGTTTATACTGAAAATCTACAAAGTTAAAATATTCGTAGTGGCATCTGATAGAGATATTTTCTGCGTGAACTTGTGTGTTTACTTTATTTTCTTTTTATTGGAATTATTCAGAAAATGGTATTTAATCATTTTCTTAAAAAGAAATAATTGTTTTATGTTCGACCTTCTCCGGTCTCAGGTCTTCAACGGTCACCAGTTTCCAAAGACCTTCTTCTATATTGATCGATTATTGTCAACTATATTCCTGGTACAAACGTTTATTTATCGCCCCCCCCCCCAACAATGTTGAAAATAGTTAAATGAAATATCTTTATATCATTAAAAATGTTCCCCGCAGGAAACCATTTTACTTGTACATCATATTGATCTTGTAGAAAAACATGAATGCCTATTTTGATGGATCAATTTAATATTTTATAAATAAAACCAATTATAGTGTAATCTGAAATGAATATTTTCTTCGGCTTCTGTTGCTTTTTGGCAATTAGTACATACATAGCGATTTAGTATATTAATTTGTATGGAAATCAAAATACTACTTTGTTTACATTTTGTTCCTTTTATGACAAATTATTTAACAATCAACTCTACTTTCTGCGGGTGAAAAGCATCTCACAAGCTCTAAAACTAATTTTTAAATGTTATAAAACACATCTTTGCCCTTTCTAAAGAAGAAATATAAAAAAGAAAAAAAAACACACATTTTCTTCACCTCTCGTAATATAAAAAAAGATAAATAAAAGAAAAAAAGTTGCCCTCTGTGAACCACGTCCTCGTGTGAAGTCTATATTTTATCTTATCAACAAGTAATTTGTCTATTCAAACCTGGTTTGATGTGCCGATAATTAATTTGATATAAGTACATATATCAAAATCACACTTTCATTTTTACACATGATTCTTATTACTTGTTTCTTAGTATTCAAAAACATTCGGGGCGGGAACCTCTCCTAAAACTGGATGAGTAATCAAACTTAACTGACAAAGGAAGATTTAAGTATGTTTAGAAGGTAGAAACAAGTACAACCATTTAAATTTAATCTTACAAATTATCCTTTAATTAAACTTTTCCGGATATCCTACTTTGATTGACGCCGCGTGCAGTACTAAATCGCATGTTTTAAAAAAAGCATTCCATGCTTGTGGTGAACCGCTTTTCAGACAGGTCTCCCGTAGCTCACATAGTCTGATACAAATCTAATGATCTGAAAAATACATCAACATTATACCAGGAAGAATGATTCAACAGGAAATAATTTCATTATTAAATCTTGCAATGATAGAGGCATCTAAAATGATGCAATATCGATAATATCAGCATATGTATTAATGATTCCAGACACACAGCTGTTTCTGTCAGAGGTATATTTTTTCCATTTTTTTGTGTAAGTATTTGAACAGGCGGAAATGCAATCGGTTTTTATTTACAAATGCGTTTGGATCTTGTTCTATTTAATGGACTAATATTTCATCATTTGAATTTCAGAATTTAACAAGTAGGGTTATATGGTCGAAGAGGTATCTCTTGCACCGCGTTGAGGTAAAATATTTTAGATTATTTTTTTATTATAATATTGTTGAAATTATTCAGATAGCTGACAGAAGATAGCCTTGTCTCGTTAATTTAAAATATTACTTTCTTCATGGGCTCCACAAAATTCACGCCACACTAGAGTTAATGTATTGTTAATGTTCTGGTGTCCTTCTCAATCATTGGAAATGTAAAAAAAACACAGATAATAAATGTTCAAATTTTAAACATGTATACAATGTTAATATTGAATTATAATTACAAAAAGAAAATCAACAACGTCAGCAACAAACCCCATATATCTCTTTACTCAAGGAAATAAATGCAATAAGAAATACAATCTATGACTATGTTACTTACCATACAGTATACATTTAATCATTTTACTTTCAAAACATTACTGCATTTTTAATGAAACAACATCATATTGTTACTTAGAAATTAATAAAAAAAATTTAAAAAAAAAACAACAACAACAAAAAAAAAACAGGAAAAAAACCCCCGATTAATGGTAAAGCTTTCACAATGTTTGATCCGAGCTTTCAACTACTATTTCTTATGTATATTCCCATGGTTCTACGGTGCGCTAACGTCACGTGTTACAAGTAAATGATGTAATATAACATGTAAATTTAAATATCACGTGTGTGGTAAGGTAAAACGTATTAAAGGCTTATCAGCTATGTGATGATGGAACAGGCGAGGAACAGCCGCAATACTTTGTTATTTGTGATATCAAATCTTTATCAAAATTTAACAAGGAGAAATTTATTTCGCAGACAACGTTTTACCTCTAAATGATGAAACGATAAAATTCTTGATTTTTGCAAGGGGTTTAACTCAAAGGTGAAAAAGCATGGCGGGAGGTACTCCGATGAATCAATGGAACCAAGTAAACTGTAAAAAAGACTATTCGGCAGGCAATAGTAATCTTCATGTGACAGATTTAAATCTGAAATTATGTAAAACCTAACATTGTATCATATTCCTCAAAATATAAGCGTATTATGCAGGAGTGAGTGATAGAACCAAAATATCTTTAATCTCAATAAACAAGATTTAGTTACTGTTATGTTTTTTTTAAATAATACAACATATTTTTTAACATTACAACATAAAGTTATAAAATAATAGCAATGAAAAAATGTATACTCTCGGGAAATTGTTAAGTGCATTACTCATAAGTAAACAGTTTGTGTGTAGAAAATTAAAAAAAAAGAATGAAATACACGTTTACCACTCGGACATGCCGCCATAAAACAAGTTCATTGAAGAAATAAATTCAACAGGTCAAGTGTTAATACAGTAAACTCCGATAATAAAACTATCGCTTATAACGATATATCGCTAATAACGATTTTGTTCCCGCGGCTTTTGTTTTTAATTTGGTTGCTTCTCGGATATAACGATATCCGGATATAACGTTTTTGGATATAACGACATAAATTCGGCTAAACTAACATGTCTTGGTACAAACATGTCAATATACATATAAAGGACATTCTTGGGAGGAACTTGTCAACTAGTTTCGCGAAACATTCACGGTGAGCAATTTATATTCACACAAGAAAGAAAACCTGCGTCATTGACAACACTTTTTTATTGCATGCCTTTCTTTTCTGATTGCTCAAAGTTGGCAGAAGTCGAAAGTAAAGATAGAAGTAATATATAATTTAGATTACATTATTATATTAGATACAGGTAGGTATAAAAAGAAAATAAATACTTGTACTTTTAAGTAAATTCACTTCAAAACAATAGTGTTTTCAATATTTTATTATTTGATTTCACCTGAAAATGACAAAAGTACCTCGAACAAGTAAAAAATGGCATGCGTTTAAACTTAGAAGTTCAGTAATAGTTGTTTAAAATATGTTTATATTTGTTATTTTCTCCTCATTGCACATGGTATGACTTAACAGTGTAAGTGATAGAAAACAGTGAAATTGATTAAAATATAAAACATGTAGAAGATACAAAATGTCTTCAGATTTTATTAATTTTCATGAAACTTAAAGGCCAACTATGCCTAAGAAATGCTATTTTTTATTTTCTTAAAATATTTCTATTTTTGTTGTCCTGTTAAAGTTTCCAAAAAGTTACTCATAAATTTTGCTAATCATCTGAATCTTTTTTTATTCATGCTGCCTTCTGGTATTTAGTACATTTATAGTGATTTAGTATTTTGCATGGAAGTTAAATAATAATTTGTCTTCATTTTGCTACTACATGTACAACGTCACTTAATTTATCATTCAGCGCTAAAGTTTTATAAATCGTTTTTGCCTTGTCTAAAATCGGAAAAAATATTCGTTAATGATGTGCCTTTAAAGTGAATTTGCACATGGGAGGTATGCTATATAATAATACTTCGCACCATACATAAAAAATCACACCAAAGAATTATGTATGGATGTTGTTGTTAAATGTTATATCGCATATCTGTCTATAGCAAATAATAAAATGTTCGAGACCAGATATAATTATTCGTTATATAAATTGTAATTATACTAAACCACTCAAAGTTGTTTTCATTTTTTACAAGTTATATTTTATAAGAATATCATTGCTTAATGTTTTTATCAATATTTAATATTTAAAATACTTATGGAAAATGTGCCCAATTTATACCAAAAATTTTTAAGCGGTAAATATTGGAAGGTTTGTCATGACGGGACTGGAAATAATTTTTCGAGATTAATGGTCAATTTGTTGTAGGTCTAGAGCAAAATAACTTTATGTGCGAAAGTTCAGATCATTCGCTCACTCCGATTTTCCAGACTGATTATTCTAATTGTGAAAAATAACCTTAAATTGAAAAGCGTTGTAACGCTTTTCACTCATATTGGGCTAAAGTAGCATTCGGACCATTTTTGTGTTTAAGTGCTCAAACATAGTTATTCGAATAAATGTGATTCTGAATGACAATACAAACAAAAATAATAAATATATATAATATAAATATATAATCTAAACAAAATAATTGTCATGGACATTAGATATCTCGTAAACAATCAAGTGTTTAAAATCTAGTAGATCATTATGAATAAACAATCACAACAAACTATCTAAAGGAAAAGGTTCAAAATAAGCCACTGCTTAATATAATTTTACCCTGAAATATATTCTAGGATATTATCAAAATAAATTGATATAATTCACAAATAAAAGGAAAAACAAATATAAAGAAAAAATCTAGAGCGTCAAAAGGTAGAAAATGACCTTAGCACAGTAGTATTATAATATCTTTATAAAATACGCAAATCAGTCCTAACAAAACTTATATAATTAATAATAATAATAATAATAATAATAATAATAATAATAATAATAATAATAATAATAATAATAATAATAATAACATGAAGCTTACAGACTTAATTTTGATTGAATTCATGTAACATGATAAAAAATGCAACACCCTGTTTTAATACAATTGCATTTGCATGTATAAAATGAATATACATTTAAATTAATTTATTTTTTATAAACATGTTAAAAGCAAAGATACACAGATAAACAATATCTAATATGAAAACACTGCACATGTCGATTGCACTTGTCTTTCAGTTGATCTTTACACCATTTTTAAAGCTGCACGCCGCCAGATGAGACAAAGTATTAAAAAAAGAAAGAATGAACTTTGACATTTAGAATAGTAAAACGATTCAAGATTCAAGTAAATATTTACATTTTATGTATTATGTGCGCTTTAGGACTGATTTGTAAGTATTTATCACCATATTTCTACTGCGTTACTAACGCAGAAAGGGCTATATTTGCATATTTTGTGTGGACTGGAAGTGCAATTGGCAATGTGTTCTTTGTTTATTTCACCATATTCTACTATTAAATAAGTATTCAAATTTTTTATGAAAATAAGCATGATTCTGGAGGCACGCAGCTTTAAACATTTACTTAAAACATAATGTGAAATTTGTCAAATGGGAGGTACCTCAAGAGTAGTATAAAAGACAAACATTAAAATACCCCAACAAAAACCGAATAAGCTGCAAGCAAATTATGATATCAGTCCTCTTTAAACAGTTTGGTTAGAATTTGAACCGTAGTTGTCTATTTGAGTTGATCCTATCTCGTTGGTATAACTAGTAGAACAATTGTCAATCCTTTCGTCGCTGTCAGGTGTCTCTGTCCTGTAACCCTTCCTTGCCAAGAGACAGAACAGAAACATCTCAACCACGAGAAGCCCGTTGTGAATACCTGAAACAAAGAGAAAAAGATCATTAAGATACTTGAATTAGTAGATTTATGTTGTTTCTATACATGTATATAAGCAAAACAAGTAAGGAATTCGACAGTTTGACATGAAGTTGAAAAGTCACGAGGAAAACTTGCAACAATAAAGATGTTTGATCTTGTTAAATAACATTTTTTTTACCATTTTATCAGACTTTGAAAATATTAGATACCATATTTGTTATAGACAGGACTGATTTTAAGAATATATGAATGCTAGAGGCATTTTATAGTACAAGTAATATCTTGGGTGTTTTAACCTAATATGGGTATGCTGAAGACGATGAGGGTGGATACCAAGAAAATAAAATTGACATTGACCTTCAAAAGGTCAATTCAAAATGGCCGCTTAAAAATACTAAAGTAGGTCATTTAAACTATGATACAATATGATGCAATTAATTATTCTTGTCAAAATCAAATGATTATTCAATATGATCAGATTTTAATGAGATTGGCCACCAAATATAACGATTATAAGCCTAATGGCGCAATTAACAGTTATATACATGTACAGTACTGTTTTAGTAGCGCGTTAAGGTGTAAGACTAAGATTGAAAAAAAATCACTTTTTATGTTTTGTTTACTTGACTTATATTTAACAGTAAACTTAGTTTCAAATTCTTCTTTATAAATATTACCAAAGAATAAATATTTCGAAAAAACAAATTAATATTTCGTAATTACGAAATAATATTTCGTAATAACGAATTAATATTTCGTAATTAAGATTTTATATTTCTTTAAAACGAAATGATATTTCTAATTGGGAATTATTATCTCGTAAAAACGAATTCAATTCCGGGAGAAAGTGTGGAAAATGTCACTTCAGGTGTTCCGTAATTTTCAATATTATTTGTAGCTATGATTTTTTTTAAGTTGTTTATATTTAAAAATTATTTTGAAATGTCAAAACATGTCATTTCAATGCCATAAACACAACACAAACCGAGACAAAAGTGTTTTGAAATATATACTGCAATCCCCCCCCCCAAAAAAAAAAAACAAAAAAAAAAAAAAAACAACAAAAAACAAAAACAGTAGGTCTTAAAAAAAGGCAACAGTAGGAATCGAACCATAGACATCTCACACATCAGTCAATCACTTAGCCGGATGTGCTACTGCGGAAGTAACGATAACGTTTACATTTTAACAGATATGACTTTCACTAACATTAGTTTTAAAGTTAGTAATTCGTGGCCACGAGATACATGTAGCTAAGTCGTGGCCACGAGATACTAATCATTCCAGGATATCTTAAAGTAACTGCAAAGTTATCTATAAAAATATTTTATTTGTTATAAATCGAGTAATATTTTCTTTGACCATATATAAAAGTCACGTGGGTTGGCTACATAGTAGAGGTGTTAAAATATAATTGTAATACACCCTTTGTTAGCCATTGAAATAGTATTTAATGTATAAAGGACTTTCAAAAATGGTTCTTATTCAGAGCGGGCGCTATGGTGCAGTGGTAACACTGTGTGCCTACAAATCAAGGGGTCGTGAGTTCGATCCCCCGCTACTGAACGAATAAATGACTACAATATTGACAAAACCAGGACATCGACACAGAGACGGCAAGGATAGATACAAGAGAAGACTTTAACGGAATGAAACAAGTACCGAAAGTACAAGACCGAAGACGACGACCGATAACAGATGACGGCAAGGATAGATACAAGAGAAGACCTTAACGGAATGAAACAAGTCAACGGAGACAAGAACTGACAACAAGCAAATAGAGACGAGGACCGCTAACAGAAGAACAGGACAGGGACCGATAACAGAAGAACTGACAACAAACGAACAGAGACGAGGACCGATAAAAGAAGAATTGACAACAAACGAACAGAAACCACGACCGATAACAGAAGAACAGAGACAGGAACCGATAACAGATGAACAGGGACCGATAACAGTTGAACTGACAACAAGCGAACAGAGACGTTAACCAACAGAAGAACAGGACGGGGACCGATAACAGAAGAACTGACAACAAGACAACGGAGACAAGGATTAATAATAGAAGAACAGAGACAGGGAGCGATAACAGAAGAACTGACAACAGAAGAGGAGAGACGAGGACCGAAAACAGAAAAACTGAAAACAAAACAACGGAGACGAAGATTGATAACAGAAAAAATGGAGACAACAACAGATAACATAATAACATAGACGAATGGCAAAGGAGATCGATAACAGAGACGGAAACCGATGTCAGATGAATTGACAACAAGAAAACGGAGACCAGAATTGATTACAGAAGAATAGACACGAGAACCGATGACAGAAGAACGAAGACCATGTCCGATAACAGAAAAACAGAGACGATAACCAATAACATAACATCTGACAACAAGAAAACTGCAACGAGGACCGGTAACAGAAGAACGAAAGTCACGACCAATAACACAAGAACTGACAGCAGAGAAATGCGACAAGAACCGATAACAGAAGAACGAAGACGACGACCGATAACAGAAAAACAGAGACGAGAACCGATAACAGAACATCTGACAACAAAAGAACTGAGACCAGGACCGATTACAGAAGAACGAAGATCACGACCAATAACAGAAGAACTGACAACAAGAGAACTGCGACGAGGACCGATAACAGAAGAACGAAAGTCACGACCAATAACACAAGAACTGACAGCAGAGAAATGCGACAAGAACCGATAACAGAAGAACGAAGACGACGACCGATAACAGAAAAAAAAGAGACGAGAACCGATAACAGAACATCTGACAACAAAAGAACTGAGACCAGGACCGATTACAGAAGAACGAAGATCACGACCAATAACAGAAGAAAGAAGACGACGATCGATAACAGAAAAAAGAACCTCAAAACCCAAGAGTACTCAGAGAAAGGTGCCTTTAATTAATTTGCTTGCACACGATGTGCAAATATAAGTAGGAATCTGAGTAGCCACTCTATATGAAAGCTCTATATCTAGCAAATAGGGCAGGGAAGTGTGTAGTGTTCGCTGCGTAAACCCTAAATATAGGTTTCTTATGTTTAAATGCCTTAAAATTTTCAGTACAATCTTTAATATTCTATATTACTATTATATTGGCCAATAAAAAATATCCGCCATCTTGGATTTTACGGCAATATTGGAATGTTTTGTTCTTTTAATTCTGTTTTGGTGTCTAATTTGTTTTTAACCTAAACATGCATTGTGACAAATTTCATGCTTTTCCTTTCCTTAAAAGTTTTATTTAATATATCATCCATTTATGATAAAGAAATTTGGCGGCCATTATAGTGGTCATTTTAAATGGCCATTTCAATGGTCAAGATTAAGTTTTTCAATTTGGTATCCACCTTTATCGGATTCAGCATACCTTAAATAGGTAAAATACACCAAGATACCACTTGTACTACAAAATGCCTCTAGCATCTTATAGGAAGACAAATTCTCAAAATCAGTCCTGTCTATTATTAGATTTTGCATTATTTAGCCAATGAATATATCAATCTCCTACTCAGTGATCTATCCTTACAGGATTAAATCTCTGCCATCACAACATCTTCGTCAAGATTTTTGACGATATGAATTTTTTCATTTTTTATATTTATTTTAAAAAGTAAACACGGTTTTGCTAATGTATCAAGACCGATAGGTGTTAGATTTGAACTAGAATAAAAAATAATTTTGGAAACATAAAATTAATTTTATGAAAATAATTAAAAATTTTTTTAATGCCGCACCGTTTATTTCCAAAACAATGACCCCTCTCGAAAGAGAAATCATTCAATTTATTATTAATTTCTACTCTACGCTTTACAAAAATCATATTTTTTTCAATCATATCGACATATTTGAGAGTTCAAGTTTTAATGTCGCTGTTTATTACAGATAAAACATTTTTTCAACGATTTCATTTGCGTATACGCCATTTTTACACAATCATGTGATAAGACCATCATCAAGTGATTTGTGTAAGGCAGTGGGTACTGGCCGTAGCGTAACCAGTGCGCGGAGTTTGTGAATATATATTATAAATATGTAATTAGAAATTAACTACTTTTTTCTTTCCAAAAGGGATCTTAGAGATACATTAATAAATTAAATTTTAACAGAAAAAAAACGAAAGAAAAAAGTTTATCCTTCTGGGCTGAGGTTTGAACCCACGACCCTTAATTTCAATGCAGTTAACAGTTTTCAAGCCTATGTGCATACTCTCAAAGGCGGAGGTAATGCATTAGGATGCTCATACCTATAAGAGTAATCATGAATGGACCTTTGTCCTGTAAGTTTTGTTAGCATCACAGACTTTGTTAAGTTCACTTCGTCACTTGTTATATTTCAAAGTGAATGAAACCCAATATTTTGTATAAAGAGGATAAAAGTAGTCCATGTAGTATTAACACAAGAGAAAAAAAGAGATCTAATTAACAAGTAAATGATATTATAATCACAATATTTACTTACTATCACCCCTAACGCGGGACCCTCTTGTTCCTTTGCATTCTGGTATATCCCTGTCCGCAAGTAAGCTAAAAATAGTTCTCTGCAGATTGACGAAGAGGATGGCCAGCTGGAGTGGTACAAATTTTAGTCTGAGATGGTAGTGTTTTAGATGCACTCGAGACGCCCGAAATATCACGATTAAACCATACATTGACAATAAAGTGCTTACTGCAGACACCACATTGAGGTAAACGTACGGCTCATCGGCACTCTGTAACAATAGGTGTACACGGAAATTATTTTTTGATAATTGACATTTTAATTGGTATCATTTTTATAGAAAAGAGTGAAATAGAATTCTACAGAAAAGTCTATAACGGCGAAAATAGAAACGTTACATGTTCGGTTTGATTGAGCCTGTTCATTGACAGAAGTGATACTAATGAAAGTGCATGACCCCTAGCACCGGCTAAATTCAGCATAGAAGTTTTAACTTATTGCTTTGAGTGATTTACACATAGGAGATTTACAATGAGCTGGGAATTAACTGACGGCTGAAAAATGTATTTTGTATATTAGAAGTTTGTTTGTCTGGAAAAACAAGGTAAAATAATAACTAAAACAAGAGCTGTCGATAGAAAAGCGTGCTCGACTATTCTAAGTGCTTGTAAATCAAGGGTCTGGATTATGTAAAATTTTCTAATTTCAAAAAGGGTCATAATTCTGTTAAAAGCCCAAATGCCAAAGCTTATGACCTTAGACAATGACCTTGTATGCTCTCAAGTAAGTGCCTGAAGTTTCAACCCATAGTTTTGGAGATTCCAACTTCCATGCAAACACAGGGTGAGTACAAGAACTCTTCCTATTCTTCGAATAATCAACCTTAAAAATTAAGAGTAAGAATTTAAATTGTGAGACTATGGTAAAATAACACTCACTATTTCATTGTTATATCTACCATCTGTCCACATCACAGCCGCTATCACCAACAGCAATGGTCGCACAAACATGACCTGCATTGCCAGCCCTTCGATAATCTTTAAAGACTTGCTGAAAATAATTATATTCATTATAAAATATAGGAAATGAATGTCATAGTGAAGATCCATTTAACATGGGGGGAACCTTGTCACGAAGGAGCCTCATATGTGGATAATAAAGCCAGAACTTTACATTTTATGTGATGATGCAATTCCTTTTATCTCTCATGGCAATATAAAACAATTAACCATGCATAACACACATATTAATTATTGAGAGCATAATGCACTTTCATTGTCAAGGGTAGTTAATACATTCGACCGATGCACAGGAGACAAGAAATGGGACAAAATAGATAAATGGTGTCACATAATGAAACATAATGAACCTTCTGACCATGTTTTATTATTACTTATTCTATCCATGCAGCTACAATGTAGCTTACGGAACGTCGGTGGTTCTACTCAGGTGCCCGTTCGTTCTTGAAATAATGCACGGAAGGGCACCTGAGGTCTTCCTCCACCAGCATAGCTGGAACGTCGCGATATGACCTATACTGTGACTATGTGACGTAAGACCCAAAACAAATTACTTATTCCAAAGAAGATTTGTGGTCCAGAAACTAAGGTGTCTGCATCGTAGCCCAGGGATCTTGAAGTCGAGCCCTATCGGGCCACGGCGCCTATATTTTATTGTGTAACACCAGTACTGGCTAGTCCCAGGACGAGGACTCGAAAAGTTGTCCAAATGATCTTCAAACTTTCGTCATTAACACGTTTAAAGAAAACATTTCGTTTTTATTTATTAAATTTCATATCTACTTTATGAAAATACTGACTTACCGTGTGAGGGTTATTGGTTTGAGTATACAGCACATACAACAACAACATGGTGGAGTGTTAAGGTTCACTTTGTCGTCTGCTAACGTTTCAACCATTTTGTCCGGTCCGCCATAACATTCGATCGTCATCATGATAAAAATGTAAATACTGAATGAGAGGTAACTGAAATAAAATAAACTAGCGTTGAAAATGTAGTTCGTTAAAATAAAGATTTGTTAAAGGGAAATAATTTAATGTTTTTCTTACTGTAAAACGAATACCGGATTTGATGATCATTTTTCGAGTCATATCCTAACTTTTTTATGAAACACATTTATAGCAATATACTAAATGGCATCATACAATACATAGTTTAGTTATATATATTTGTTATTAAAGCTGCATGCACCCGGATAAGCCAAACTATTTCAAGAAAATCAATCTTGAACGAATGTAATACGATTTTAAGAAAATTAAAAGCAATTACAATTTAAGAAGTAATTTACATGTTATATAAAATCAATGACTTATTTGGAAGTATCTATCACATTTCTACACTGCTATACATACCAGGATGCCACAAGAGCCATCAACACGGAGCTTGTCGGTACCAACAGTGCTATCAAGGAGAAAATGCAGATTGCCTGTAAGAATAAACTACGTGATATAAGTTTTTTAAAGTAATACATTTTGGGAGAGGACACTCGTAAGCTTTATAGCTTTCTGCCTAATACCAATATATATTTTGTAAATATTGTTCACATTGTTGTTATGTTGAATAAATATGCTTAACCCAAAAAGTAATAAATTACTTTCCATAGATTTGAAAAGACGTCAAACAATAAACTAAACATAAATAAAGATTTTTTTTAGCATAATTGAATTTACAGTCTTTCCGTTAACATATACCACGTGACTGATCGTTAATATTATTGATATAAAGAGAATTTTGACATGGAAATGATTAATTGACACTTACTTGGCCAATATCACAAAACGATTCTTGTTTTAAACTTGAAAATTCTCTATATAGTTAGAGTTCGGTAGTTTCTTTAAATAGCGGAAGGATGTAAAGTAAATTAATTGTTGTAGACTTGTGATTTTTAACGTTTTTTTTTGTCTCGTTACGTGACAATTAATCGAAATCTGTTGAGTCCCTAACGTCTACGGGTTAACGAATGAATTCAAAAATCTGGAGTTAAAGTGATCCCCCGGAAGCATTAATCAAAACAAAGCATTAATCGCAATGAAAATGGCAGGCCCGATTTGATTGAGTCTTTACACGAGGGACTTTGAAAAAGTGCAACATGCCTTACGTCCACCTAGCACCGTCTTGAGCGGTTCTCAATTTTCAAAACATAAATGTGCCGGAATCATGACTGCATGGACCTGACTTTAATGTCATATTGACCGGTGTTTGAATGATGTTCGATTAAAAAAAATCAAGTATCAATGGCAAAACGTATTTACTAAAAGCTGTTAAACCCCTCAGCTGTTTAAACGTAACCCAAGTTTTGGCAATACATGTACTAATATTTCAATTAAATGCAGACCATTGTGTGGTTACTAAATTTCTTTTTACGCAAATTTGATACCAAATCTGCCAATATTTTGCGTAAGTTTGTATGCAAAAGTTCCCTGTTACCAAATACACGCTTCTTTTGAAACTCAGTATTAATATAATACTTAGTATTTAACAAACATAAATCATCTTATCTTCATATACTAAAAAGATTAAACAATTATAATTTCAAATGACACAACTTTACAAAGTGAAAACAAAAAGTTTTAATAATAAAAGATATAACTATGTATAGCCATATTCAATAGCAATAATACCAAAACACCTAATTCTCTATTGGATTTATACGGATTCCTTTGAATTTATACGGTTTAAATGATAAAACGTTTAAAATCGATTGCCACGTTATTTGTTTTTATTTACATGGTAAGAGGTAACCATTAGCAAAAATCGTAAACCACGTTATTCTGGTTGTTACCAATAAGCTTTTAAATAACCCTCAAATTGTTTAGATTTACTAGAATTGTGACTGGATCAAGGTTTCGTCAGAATGACCTCATATCAAAGGTCACATATATAATAACATTAACATGTGTTTAGGAAGTAATGAAATAGAAATTAGTATTAAATATTCCGAAAATATTCATTTAAACAAATATTATAATATTAAACGATGATTTCCAATTTGTTTTGTTTGGTTTTACGGCGCACAAACACAATATAAGTCAAATGGCGAACCCATACGAGCCGCCTATTTTGATTACACAGGGTTAAATGGTTGCTACAAATCTAATGCCTCAACCCGTGAAAGCAACCCCTCAGTGACAAGGGTCGAGTTCCAATCTGCTCATACAATAATGAATGACACTGAATGTCAACTTGTGGTAAAAATCAATTGTTTTATGTGTACTGTATCAACATGCATTCGAACAACCTGAAGGATATAGTATTGATACAGACAGCAAACCAAACATCCCTTAAAAGCTTGATTGATTTATCTTTCAATCAAACAAACAATAGTTTGTCTCTGACGGTCTTGTAATGGCAACACGAGACATAAGACAATGAAAATGCTATGTCTATTATTTGTCATTAGGTTCATTAAAGACCCATCAGGGTCCGAGTAGAAAAAAATGGAGGCTTATTTACAGGACAAAGTCTGAGTAGAAAAAATATCGACGCTTACTTACAGGATGAAGTCAGAGGACAAACAAATGGAGGCTGACTTACAGGACACAGTCCGAGCACAAAAAATATCGAGGCTTACTTAAAGGATGAAGTCAAAGAAGAAAAAAAAATGGAGGCTGACTTACAGGACAAAGTCCGAGTAGAAAACATATCGAGGCTTACTTACAGGATGAAGTTAGAGGAGAAAAAAATGGAGGCTGACTTACAGAACAAAGTCCGAGTATATAAAATATCGACGCTTACTTACAGGATGAAGTCAGAGGAGAAACAAATGGAGGCTGACTTACAGGACACAGTCCGAGCACAAAAAATATCGAGGCTTACTTACAGGATGAAGTCAAAGAAGAAAAAAAATGGAGGCTGACTTACAGGACAAAGTCCGAGTAGAAAACATATCGAGGCTTACTTACAGGATGAAGTTAGAGGAGAAAAAAATGGAGGCTGACTTACAGAACAAAGTCCGAGTATATAAAATATCGAGGCTTATTTACAGGATGAAGTCAGAGGAAAGGAAATGGAGGTTGACTTTCAGGACAAAGTCCGAGTACAAAAAATATCGAGGCTTACTTAAAGGATGAAGTCCAAGCAGAAAAAAATGGAGGCTTACTTACAGGACAAAGTCCGACTAGAAAAAAAATCGAAGTTTACTTACAGTATAAAGTCTGAGTAGAAAAAAAACTGTTGCTTACTTAAATGATAAAGTTCGAGTAGAAAAAATCGAGCCTCACTTACAGGATAAAGTCCGAGTAGAACGCCTATCTTCCATGCACGTGAATCGCCATTTGCGTAGTGGTTCCGAATGAAGAATAGCTCTTCAATGTAAATTGCCAAACACGCCACGGCCAATACGCAAGCTAAGACTAGGAATACGATGAGGACTGTATCACCTGATATGTCTGTAATTTAAATTAATTAAATTATCATTATTTTTTGCTTTTAAAGATTGAAAGAATTCTAAAATATATGTGCACATGTCATTGTGTATGTCTTGTGTTCGTTTCGCAAATTATACACGGATGAGCACATTGCACTGATGCTGCTGTAAACGTTCCGCGTGACATTGAAAGAGACGTTTGTTGTACATGGGCCTTGCTGTGCATGTACCATTCAAATTTCATTGAAAAGTGTTTAAAATGCAGTTATCATATACACGGAAATGCTTAATTTTCAATTACTCTGACCAAACCATTCTTTGTTTTATTTTGTAATGGTAAAAACTAAATTCTGTTCTGAATTCATATAAATAAAATATATCAGTAAATAAGAGACAGTGTAAGTAATGTGTCTAACAGTAAGTACGAGTATAGTACATAGATAACTATTTATGAAAATATGTCATATGAGTTCAATGTTCAAATGTTTTAAGTATTATGTAGAGAAGGCCAGTTAGAAGATGAATAAACTTAAAAACTTGTAATCAAATATACTATGTATACATTCATTTCATTCGGGGGTGATTCATCCTAGAAAATATATATCATTATCACATAAATTAGATAGAATGTATTACACTCAAAAGTATTTCGACTTAATCGTTAAACTGAGTACTTCTAAAGGAAAAATAGAATTTGACTAAGTTTTGATGAAATATAAATATTTTATAAATGGTTTACCTTCCTTTGTTTGATTGACTAAACATGTATAATTATATCAATAGCAATACTATTTACTTAAAGTGTACGAATTATTTCTAGATACGAAACGCCAGATTTCAATTATAAAATTTTAAAAGATTTGAAAGAAAAAATACCGTTTTTAACACTTTAATAATCTACAATCTGAAGAAAGCAGACCGGTCCGTAAGATAATTAAACATCATCTGGACTTACCGTCATAAAATACATCCGTCGTCGGGAAATCATCCGAACAGTTGCTCATTTTCCCCAAATTAGTTGATTACGATAAAACTCTCATACAAATTTACTTATATCATCTTCCACACCATCAAATTCACCCACACCAACGTTTAAACTACTAATGTCCATTCATATATTTATCAGCATGGTTTAATTTTATAAACTTTTACCTCATGTACATCGTATAGATCATATTGTATCTAAAAATAGATCATCCGAGTTAAAGTTATAAACTGGGTCTCCAATAAATGTTTAGTTTAAAATAACTAGTCCGTGCTATATTGTTTGCATATCATGAGGGTTGAAAAAAATTCTTCTAGATCGATGGTTATTAATATAAAATATATTTTCTATTTAGTTTGTACGCCAGGGTCCTATATAATAACCATCTTCACAATTGTACTTGTATATTAAGTGAAAGTTAAACATTTAATAATTAGCTAAATACAAAGTTTCGTGTCATGGAGAACTATAACATAACGCAAATCTGGATTCCTATCCATTGTTTTTAAAGGCCCGTTATGCCACAGAAATGCTTTTATTTTTATAATTTTTATTCATCAAATTCTCTTTTTTTTTTTTGGTATTCTGTCAACTTAACTGTTTCCTTCTTTTGTTGCTTTTTGGCAATAAGTACATTTATAGTGATTAAGTATTTTGTATGGAAGTCAAAATACTTCTTTGTTTACATTTTGTCCCCTTTATGACATATTATTTTACATTTAGCGCTATTTGCTTCAGGTAAAAAACATCTAACATGCTCTTAAACCTTTGTTTAAACTTAATAAAACTCATTTTTGGCCTTTCTAAAGAACTAAATATTTATTCATTTTTGAGGCATAATGTGCCTTTAAGGAATATAAATATTAAATCAAATATGAGTAACTTCGGGATATCACAATATGCATATTTATTCCATCTGTCCGGACTTATATTGTTGGTGGCAGTTCAATTTTAACAAAGCAACACCAGCCGCCAAAACCACCTCACCTGATGGAGCTAATTAAGAGGTGCATAGACTCCATTTTAAACCCATCCACCCGCCTCTTCCGATCACGCAGAGATAAACAGATACTGCAATTATGATGCTTCAACCCCTAGCGGCAATCCCTCTGTCACAAAGGGACTCTTTTTCCATTGGATAGATTGAGAATACTTCTTTTAGGATTTTCAACGCCGTGTATGCTTTTTGGGGGTAGGGTGGGGTGAGGATGTGGTGGGGGTCAAATGTTGAATTATTATACAAATGTGACAATCTTAAGTATGTTTTACAAAGAAAATAGTTGAGAAACGGTGGCACTATACAAAATCTGAAAAGGTATGATCAATTCGAAGTAATGAAAACAACACTCATTATCTTAATTTGAAAATTGCAGACTTGTCTTGATTGAGTCTGTTCATGAGAGATAATGTACTAAACTTTTCAAAAGAAAAGTTTACGCTGTGAGACTATTGATTATAGCAATAAATGGATATCTTATGTTTAAAACAGTTAATTGTTAACTCAAAATAAATTATCAAAATTAATCATTTCATTAAATCTTATCACTATCAACATTTTCAAGTTGCAAAAGAAAATCTTTCACCCCTTAGTTTTGTATTATTTGCGTAATATGGGCGTAAAATGGGCGACATTTAAAATTAAATTCAGATTTGAACATATCCAATCCCTTATAACCTTTAATGAAAATATTCAATATTATAAAAAAGTATGGTGGCTGATTTGTGCCATGTATTTTTTTCGCACTGTTGAACGCAAGACGAAAACATGAAAATGCGACAAAGTACAAGTAACCAATTTCGTTACTTACATGTTTTTTTTTTGCCTGGCGCCTCGCAGAGCGATAGCGCGACAGTGGTTATATTGTCGTATTCTTGTGTTTCGAGGAGCGAAAATTCGACATATTACAAATTAGCCACCATAGTTTCGTGCAGTTAATGTTCTATTGGACTCGAGTACATCTGCAAAACCTATTTTGGACGAGTTGCTTCTTCTGTATTGTACAAATCTCATTAGTACTACATTGATAATGATAATTTGTATTATCATGATGATAATATGCTGAAATTTCGATGTGACCGTATTACACGAGGCTAGTTATTGCCTACTTGGGACTGAAAAAAGACACTTGAAACAACATTCTAGATTACATCAATCTCGAGCGCATTTGTTAATGAAAAAATACAAAAGCATGCCGACAATAAGCTCCCTTGGTGAGTTTTGACAATGGCGGTTTTATTGCAAAGATTGGAGCATTACGATTCCAATTCGTTCGCAAAGTACTCTATCTAATTAAGTTAAAATATTACATTAATTGATGCAAATCTAACAGAAGTACACGTGGTGACAAACAAGTCCATTTAAGTTTATAAAGCTCTATTTCTGCTACTTGGAGTTTACAAAAATGTTTTTTTCGAGTTTTGATAAATAATTCGTTTTTTATGTCGATATGAAATAAATATTTTGGTATATGAATGGCAGATACAAAAAGTCATTGCTATACGGTAAAAAACACCACCAGTAAACCTTAACATTTGACATCTCACAATATACAGTGTCTTCGTGACTTTAAACCCAACACAAATCCCGACTGCTCTGTGTACAATATACAGTTCAAACGGTTTATTCCATCCAAAAATCAAATTTTATAACGGGCCCATTGGCTGGTCTAAAATTATTTTTAGCAAAGTTAAAGTTATTTTTAGCACCTATATAAGAAGCTGAGCGGCGTAGTAGCGGCCTTTTTCGGAGAAGGTAGCATCAAAATTTTCAAATTATTTCATGTTTAGCTCGACTGTTTTTTTTTTTGAAAAAAAAAAAGTAGAGGTATTGTTATAGTCAGGTCGGCGTTGCCGTCTCCGTTGCCGTCCGAAAACTTGTACCTGGATCATAACTTTTTTATTTCTTGGTGTATTGTCTTCATACTTGGCCACAACAACCCTTGGGACAAAACCTTTCAGTAGACCACACTAACCTTGACCTTCATCCATAAATGACCTTGACCTTCAAGGTTAAAAGTCAATTTTTGCTTGTTCATGCTGTTATTGGCTGTTACTTTGTTATTTTTGAATGGATTGTCTTCAATCTTGAACATAATAATCTTCAAGGATATCCCTTAAAAAATAACCAGTCAGACCTTGACATTCACTCATCAATGACCTTGACTTTGAAGGTCAAATTATTGAAATTTTCATTTTTTTGGCTATTATTGGCTGTAACTTTGTTATTTTTAAATGGATTGTCTTCAAACTTGAACATAATAATCTTCAAAGATAACTGTTAAAAATATACCGAAAGACCTTGACCTTCACTCATTAATGACATTGCCTTTGAAGGTCAAATTATTGAAATTTTCATTGTTTTGGCAGTAACTGACTGTAACTTTGCTATTTTTGAAGGGATAAACTTCATATTATAACAGAACATTCTTAAGGACCAGACCTTGTTGTTTATCAAACCCAAATTTGCTTGGGCTCTTTTATGACCTTGACCTTGAAGGTTATATTACTGAATTTTCTCAGATTGTGCATTTATTGGTGTGTGTGTATGTATAGTATATGTATTATATATATATATATATATAAATGTGTGTGTGTATATATATACATACATACATGTATATAATTGCGTCATGTTTTTCTATTTTTAGAAATTGCGTCATTTTTTCTATTTTTAGAAATTGCGTCATTGTTGCTATTTTTAGAATTTGCGTCATTTTTTTCTATTTTTAGAAATTGCGTCATTGTTGCTATTTTTAGAAATTGCGTCATTTTTTTTCTATTTTTAGAAATTGCGTCATTGTTTTTATTTTTAGAAATTGCGTCATTTTTTCTATTTTTAGAAATTGCGTCATGTTTTTCTATTTTTAGAAATTGCGTCATTTTTTTTCTATTTTTAGAAATTGCGTCATGTTTTTCTATTTTTAGAAATTGCGTCATGTTTTTCTATTTTTAGAAATTGCGTCATTTTTTCTAGTTTTTAGAAATTGCGTCATTTTTTCCCCTACTTTTAGAAATTGCGTCATTTTTGTTCTATTTCTAGAAATTGCGTCATTTTTTTTCTAGTTTTAGAAATTGCGTCATTGTTGCTATTTTTAGAAATTGCGTCATTTTTTTCTACTTTTAGAAATTGCGTCATTTTTGTTCTATTTCTAGAAATTGCGTCATTTTTGTTCTATTTTTAGAAATTGCGTCATTGTTTCTATTTTTAGAAATTGCGTCATTTTTTTCTATTTTCAGAAATTGCGTCATTTTTTCTATTTTTAGAAATTGCGTCATTGTTTCTATTTTTAGAAATTGCGTCATTTTTTCTATTTTTAGAAATTGCGTCATTGTTGCTATTTTTAGAAATTGCGTCATTGTTGCTATTTTTAGAAATTGCGTACTGTTGCTATTTTTAGAAATATGCTTAATGTTTCTATTCATATATATACAAAATATATAAACAAAACTTATGTGACAAGACAGACCAACTAAATTTATAAAAAGGAAACATCAATATATGTTCAAACCTTTCTATGTTTGCGTTTAGAAAAAGAAAAAAAAATTGTCGAGCGTTGCCCCCGCCCGGCGGTGGCTCTTGTTTTATCTAGCTTTACTCCTTTTATGTTGGAATAATTTGTATTATTGTGTTGTTTGCGAAGAATATTATATATACTTTATATTCTATGGCATTGATTGGAAAATGGAACCGAATCATTATTATACTTGTTCACAAAATGTCAAACAACTGAAAGTTTGTAATAAATGTATGTAAAAAAACATCATGTTTGCTTAATCTAGAAACAAAGACTGAAAATAATCTAACTGGATTCAGACATCATCGGCTTGTGTTACCAATTAATGACATTGCTTTTTAATATCACTAACCCATCAATGAGTTATTGCGTAGTCCAATTCATACGGAATGACATTTTCATTTGCCCGAGGAAGTACCTTTTAGTAATCTTGGTCTGTAATGGTTGCATTTGTTACAGGCTAAGGTCCAAAATCAAATGAACACAATTTTGTGTGTGTGTTTTAATGTATACTTTCAAGTTCGACATTATTTTGACTGATAGGGCGTCAGTGAGGCCGTTAGCTTACAAGCGCTTGTCCTTTAATACCGATGAGTTCAACTTCAAAGAGCCATTAGAAAGTCGTTGTATCTACTTGGGTGTCCACCCGTGTGTAACTTGGTTTTTGCTGTAATTTG